TCCCTGGTAGTTGACACAGCAATAAACGGAGCTGTTCCCATTTCCCAGCCACCTACAGCCAGGAGTACTTTCAGGTCGGGGTTGTTCACCTTTAAATTATTGACTTTCGCATACATACCTTAAAGGATGGAATAACGAAGATGGTGAGCTGACGAAGATCGGGAAATTTTATTCAAGGCATAAATGTATAACTTTACGGTTGAAAATTTACTTTGTGAGTCAAAAATTGGAATACAGGTGCTAAAAACCAATCTAATAGTTTATAGCAACAGAATCAGACAGGCTTTAATTTGGGTGACTGATTTCGGTATTTTTGGCATATCTATATTAGCTGCCAAGGATCACTAAATCGCTTCATATAATATACAAATTAAGACTTAATAATATATATTTATATATATATATATACTCTTCCCATGATCATAATAATAACAATGTGTGGAATGTTCGGCAAAACTGACCTATATTTGGTTTGGCAAGCACATCGTTCCATTGGTCCGGTTTCAGTCCTCCAGCGCTTATATTGGCAAACGCATAGATTATGTGGGTACATAGAGAGGCATTAATGTTGGCGGGGAAGAACTTTATGGAGTCATCTGTCCTGTATTGAGACCAGTTGGTGTAGTAGCATACTCTTTTGTACCCTGAACCTTAATATAGCAGAAATAAGACATTTTGTACTGTTAAGTCTAGCAGACTGAGGAACAATGAGAGTGCTTACAATCTCGCAAGACGAGTGACGAAGAAAAGCGTAATAAATAAATGTCAGTGTGTGTGCTTGTGTTTGTGTGTTTGGAAGCAACTCAGTAACATGTCTTCAAAGCATACATTAATTCATACATTAAGTTTTTGAACTTTGGTTTTCTTCAAATCCAGTGCCAAGAAGTGATAGCCTCAGATAAGTTTATCTTTCAAACGTATACGGCCTATAACATGTTATACATTACGTTTTTGAACTTAAGTTTCCTTCAAAGTCAATTGTTTGAATTGTAAGCTATCGACATTGTCATCTGCAAGGGACAATTCAGTAGCATTATGTGGAATTTTTTTTTGGTAATATGAAAGATATAATACCTATGAAATTAATATTTTTATCTACCCGATAAAACTGAAATATATCATTTGTAAAGTTTTTGTACCTCCTTTATCTGCAGATGCTTAAGTTGGTAGCAGTGATAGTAGACTGCGCCCCATTCCCATAGGCAACGGTCTCCGTATATCGACCCAACTCTACGGGGACTTTGATAAGTGCAAACAGCTGAACTGAATCACAGACCCCCTCTTGTTTCAAACTTATTCGAAAAATCACCAGCTTTTCTGTATTCATGTACTGAACGCCAGGAGAGGCGTGTTAACAGTTAAGCTCATTGCACTCAGCGAAAATCCCTACAGAGCTGGGTCTATCCACGTAGACCGATGGTGTTTATGGGAATGAGGCCACGTCAACGGCTTGCGAAAATATCATATCGTTATGGATAATGGCCATACGTAACCATGCATGTCACCCATACTTACCTTGTGTCAAACTGAAAACATAAATCCCCATTAGGAGAACTGTCAGATGCCGCATATCCATAATTCTTTTCTATTACTGTAAGAGAATTGTAACGTGATTGATACGGGTGATTAGGCACCTAAATAAAATACAAGCCAATATAGATAAAAAAAAAGCGTACCTGCCTTCACCACATGTAGCTTTAAATAATAATTTATTATTGTATGATATATCGAAATAGCATGTGACGTTTTTTCAATAATGACTCTTATGTGTAAGTAATCAACTGAGAGCAAAAAATATGACCCTAGTTGAATACTTACACATGAAGAATATGATTCAAAATCAAACTTCTGGTAACATATTACGAAAAATAAAATTTCACACCACGTAGAAATGTTAATGGGCGTTTTTTAAAAAAATCATTTCATAAACCTAATACTTCTAAAGAGAATTACATGAAAGAAACAAAACTGGTGTACTGATAAAAACATAAAGCAGATGCTTGTAGAAAAAAATTAAGTTGTGTATGAGTGGTCTCTATTGTTACAATTTTTGTTATACCTAAAACTCCCCTATGAAAAAAATACTCTATTACTTCTCTTCAATTTTACTGTGTACTGCTCTGTTTAATCCACCTTGAACTGAACACGTGTATATTAATAATACCAATTGTTTAGCTCTTTCATAATGAATATTGCAAAAATTGTTAATTTTGTTAACCTGCTCACAATTAATCCCTCTTTTCATGAAAAATAAAAGCTGACAAAGAAAGTAATGAAAACTAATCAAATAAACCCTGAAGTAGGAAGAGAAATACAGAAAAAACTCACCTCAGTATAAATATTTGTATTTGGGAGGTTGTTACTCGATTGGTCATCAGGTCTGGAGTGATTAAAAGGTGGTATGCATGAAGTAATATGACTAAAGGCTGTCTAATGGGTGAGGAAAACACTGTTTATCAGTTGTGACGCACATTTTATCATTTTAATATTAACCAGAATCCAAGATTAAGGGGCGTCTTGTTTGAAAGGTGCTATAATTATACTAATGACCTCAAAGACAAGGCAACTTAACCCAGTTTTATATCTATATATCTATAGTGGTGTTCAGAGACTCAAATCCTTTATTTCGTAAATCAGGCCTTTTAAGAGGGAGAAAACAATTTTAATTCATGGATTCAGCTCCTTGAGACACCTTCGCTGAATTCTAGCTTCACTGGTTTAAAAACTATATTCGACTTCAAAACACAGGCACTAGATCGAGGTACACTGTTCTACATGTACTTAGCAATTTGGTGATAAATTGTGCATTTTTTATCAACAAGCATGACATGGTCAATGATATTCAAATCAAATCTGGATTGGACAAGTCTAAAAATTAAAATATGGCCGCCAAATCCAAAATGACATTAAGGAACGTAACATTACTACAACGCTATATATCCACATCTCGGCGACGTTATAACGTTTGTGTACTTTTCTGACAGCGGCGGTGAAAGTGCAGCACAAAAATGATAATAAAGTGGCCTATACTATGCAAATTGACAATGAGTTGGTCATCTTTAGTTTAACAATTGATATCGTGAAGTTCAACAAAAATGAACTGAAACGTTTATTTACAATTTTTCTACAGTATGTACTCTTACCGTCACAACCATAGTCTGTACTTTTTTTGTCTTTATTTGTTTCAACGGAGAGATCAATCTTCCTGCGATACCGTTTCAGTGAGGAACTGATTACGAACAACAATTCGTTTAGCAACTTGCTCAACTGCAGGAATTCTGTCTTAGTTTAGGGTAATAATTCTGTAAGCCAATAAACTTGAACATCAATGACTTAATTGCACCGAAACTTTATCACCGGTGGATGCGCAGTAAAACTGAAATTTTGAAAAAAAGCTTAAAATTTTTGAAATTTATTACAGTTGTGGTTGTGGTCATGTTAACTGAACGTAATGCCAGCAATGTTGTCTTTCAGAAAAGTGACCTTGGCCGCAATTCCATATACCATGAAAAAGTGTGACATATCATTTAGGGCCTTTATCCGACTTTAAGGCCATATGTAAAACACCCCACTGTAAGTTTTCTTTTTTTTTTTTTTTTTTTTTTTGACAGTGGCTTTGAGCACTCATCTAATAAAAGTGCCTTTTCTTAAAAGCTTCCACTGGATTTCTGATCCTAAATATGATTTATAAATGTCCTTAGGCTGTATCAAAATCCATTTAAACACTGTTTTAACATTAATGGTTCAGAAGAATTCAGAAATCAAGCTGACATTAAATAAATTACTATTTTTATTGACTCAAAAATATAAATAAAAATAGGAATTATACGAAAGAATATAAAAGAAAATATATAATTTTCACATTTTTGCGATATTTGCTCACTTCAGACATTGTAAAAATATCATGTCACCTTTTTTCATCTTTACAACGTGAATGTATAAATCTGAAAAAAGTGTTATCATCCTTGACTAGATTAAGCAATCTATGGGAACACCGTGTTAAACACCAGTAGCCTTTATCATAACATAAGCTTTTGAGTTACGTTTTCCAAGAAGTCCAAACAGCACACTCGTATAACATCCTAGCTGGATTTAGTGCCTTGGTTGTTCTACATTTCATTCCATGTTTTTGGCCCAAGCCTTTCCACTGTTCCCAGTACATATGTAGAAGCAGAAGTGTTACGTCCGTAGCAGAATGGTGAATAATAATCCACAACAAAGAATGAAATACTGTTTTAGGGAAGAAAAGCATTGCTCGGCTGCACTCACGCATCTTATGAAATTGCATCGATCTGTACAGAGAAAAAAGATACATTGAAAGACAAATATCACACACACACACACAAATTTAAAAGAAAAAAGAATGCACTAATGAAATGTTCTGTATTTTTGCATGTATTTTTGTCTATGCATGCATGTCAAAGGAATAAGGTTTAAAAAATGGAAAAAAAAATTTTTTGAAGGAAATTGGCATACTGATAATTTTTCTTTTTTTTGGGGGGGGGGGTCGTCTAAGGGACATTATTTTGGTAAATTATAATTATTCATCTAGAAACTGGTTTTAACAATTTTTCAGAATCAAACTAAACGTCGGTTGCGAAATATTCTAGATTGTACTTACCACGAGTTGTTGTGGGAGTCAAGCCAGTAGTAGTAGTGGATTTCTCATACACAGCCAGTCTCTCGTTGGCTGCACTGAGCAATGGATAAATTCCCGTTCCACATTTGTTATTAAAGTCATCCATATCTAAAGGCCAGATCATTATACCCGCAAGGCTTTCATTGACGGCATAGTCAACCTAAAATGGGTGCGACGTACATACATAATGCTCGTAAGGATACCACCAGTCAAATAACTTTGCACATTAAAATCTCTGTGTAATAAAAAATTTATGCCATCAAATGGTAGCAAAATCAAGAGCAAGACTCATAGTGTAAAACAGTGGTAAAAGATAATACAGTATTGGTGCAATTAGATCTTTTATGGAACGTTGTTTCAACTACTGATGGATTAAAGCTGTTGTATTGGTCTTTAAAAGGTATACCTTCTCCCTGATGCTCCTAGGATTGTCATATCCCACCCACAGGTTCTCCTGTGTGTTGAAAGCATATGGTACTTTTCGCTCATCGTCCCATTGTTCCTCCCAAGCTGGATCTTTCAGGTTCTCGCAAATCTGAAGAATAACAGGAACATGCATGTCAGTTGCAAATGAAATTTAACATAAAATTGTCAACAAAAGCGAAAACCAACCCATAGATTTGCAGTTGACAGCGTTACCCAATGCAAACATTAAACGGAATGATACAGAAATTTTGTTTCAACACGCGCACTAATTGTGCACGGTTTGTCGCAGTAAAATTTGGAAAATGCGTGGTAAACAGTATGTTGTCACATTAAATAGCTAAAAATCAACATTTTTATTAAGTAGAAAACTCAACCTACCTCATAATATGGGTACATGCGGGGTTCACCGGTATACCTTCCCGCAGGGCCATAGTCGAGAGCCTGCGCTCCTGGAGTGGTATTGCCATTTAGGGTTTTGAAATTTCTACCATACGCGCCCAAGCCCAGAACCAGTTTTTCTCGCTGTGCTCCTTTCTTAATCCACATCTTTATGGCGTAGTCCTGAAAAAAAGATCGTATTTTTCGCTTTCAAGAGTCATTTCACCAGCCCAAATACATTTGCTTTGAAACGCCCTGTCATAGTACATTAATAAATTTGAAATAATCTCACCTTAAACTTTTATTCAATCACATTTTCATATCATAAAAAGTGCCTGGCCATCAGATTAAGAAGAATTATTCTACTAAAGCACCTCATTTAACAAGCTTGCAGTTTAAAAAAAGAATTATTCTACTAAAATATTTAATTTTAATAGTTTAGTACATTTATCTTTTTGTCTTCACTTACGACATTGTGCGTTGCCATTACATCATTGTCTTCCTCGCCAGAAAAGAGCGCCGCGTTCTGCATCAGGCGTTTTCCTTGAGCAGGTCCAAGTTCATGGAAATCGTATGCCATAAGATTGATGAAATCCACGTTCCTTTAAAATGTTCATCAAACGTTTAAAACAGATAACATCACAATTTCGTGAAATGATGAGACTTTTATTGTCCCTGTAAAGATGAAGTTTCGTTTTAAGAGTTTGGACCTGTGACACTTTACCTTGTACAACAGTTTATGAGGCCTACATGCTTCAAACCTGCAATCGGATACTCTCGGCACTTATGGCACACTTATGGTATCTACCAAGGGTACCCAAATACACATACCTGGAGACTTCCTCGACTTGATACCCCTGCTCTACTGCCCATTTCCCTGTTGCAACTGCTGCTGAGAGTATCAATTTCTTTTTACCAGCGGCAGCGGCCTCAGATTCGAAGTTTTCGTTGGTTTCCTAAATAAATAAAAAATGAAAGTTTTTCTTTATTAGAAATATTATACTGTTTGAGAGGTCTTAGGTACATGAAGACAGCAAAGGTATCTAACAAGACTGAAAAGGTGCACTACGGAGTGGCAAGGGCCGCTTGTCATGGTCTCACTCTTATTTCATTCTTTCGACGTTTTCAAATTTCCATTGATAAGGCTAACATTTCGTTCTTTTTTAGTATGCCTCCCCTTTATATGCTTTTATATCTCTTAATCCCCAAACTTTTTTTTCGGTAATTTGACCGAATCTCTATGTTTCAACTTTAATTTTAACTTGCAAATGGATCTGTTCACACGTGGCTAAAATTTAGACTGAAAAAGGGCTGCATCACCGGATGACCAGAATACACCACTCTCGTACCTTAAATTATAGAGCCCCACGCTCATAAATGCGCTCGTTTTGTGATATCAATAATATTGACGAGTTACCTTAAAGGAGATAGAGACTAATAGATTTGAAAATAGAAAGAAAACGGAAACGTTAACTATGTCTTAACGTTTTAGTGCCACAGATAACATTACTTGATTATTCAAGTGTAACCATTGAATAAAATGTATAGAAAAATTAACGCCTTCATGTAAATATTCAGAAACTATCACCTTAAGAAGATCTGTGAATTTAGACTTGCTATCTGCGTCAGGAAACTCCCAGTCGTAGTCCAGTCCGTCAAAGTCGTGTTGCCGTAGAAACTGTGCCGTCCTCGTGATAAACTTCTCCCTTTTTTCCCTCGTAGATGACACAGCAATAAACGGGGCTGTTCCCATTTTCCAGCCACCTACAGCCAGGAGTACTTTCAGGTCGGGGTTGTTCGCCTTTAAGTTATTGACTTTCGCATACATACCTAGAGAGATTGAATATCGAAGATAATACACAAAGCTTTACTATACAAATGTAAGGTTAAAAAAATCAAAGTTGTAAGTCAAAAATTTTAATTAGATACAACTGCGATATCCCATCTAATTCTAGCTTTGTAAACTAACAAAACAGTTTTTAACCGATAAAATTAGCCAACGTTTGAGTGTGTGTGTGTGTGTGTGTGTGTGTGTGTGTGCGCGCGCGCACGTCTGTGTCAAGGATTACTTAACTGTTTCATACAAATTTAAACAGCTTTATATGAAATCAAATATAATATTATTCATGATCATAATAATAACAATGTGAGAAATATTCGGCAATACTAACCTACATTTGGTTTGGTAAGGACGTCGTTCCACTCGTACGGTTTCAGTCCTCCGTCGCTTATATTGGCAAATGCGTAGATAATGTGTGTGCATAGTGAGGCATTAATGTTGGCGGGGAAGTACTTTATGGAGTCATCTGTCCTGTATTGAGACCAGTTGGTGTAGTAGCATACTCTTTTATATCCTGATCCTTTACATAGAAGAGATTAGACACTGTTAAGTCTAGTAGATTTAGGAACAATTAGAGTGCTCACAGTCTCACAAGTGGGAGTGATGACTAAAAGCATAAGATTTTGTCTCTGGCAACACAGCAACTTATCCTGAATTGTTATTATTTGAAAATATAGCTCTGTATTTGTAATGTATCACTGTTATTCATCATCCTTTTGAGTTCAGACAAAACTTCTTCAAAATGATCTTATTCGACGATTTTATTGTGAAATGGTGCCCCGAGCATTGATAATCGCCTCTTAAAGGAAGTGTCAGTCTCAAATAAGATCACCTTCTAAGAGTATATAAAATTTTATAGGTCCTACATCACTTTTTGACCTTTGGATTTTTTAAACCCACTTTTTTGTGACGTAAGCTATTGAATCAATATTCTTATCTGACAGAAACAATATCAATATCAATTTCGTCGTAATATATAAATAATACCTATGAATTCATATTGAATTTTATTTTATCTACCCGATATAATTGAAAAGTATCATTTGTTAAGTTTAAGTACCTTCTTCATCTCTACATACATTTGCTGGTAGCGGTGATAGTACACTACGTCAAGAGCTTGCTAAAACATGTTAATGTCGTCTAATTATTCAGGTAGGAGTTATAATTAACCATTTGCATGCCACTCAATACTTACCTTGTGTTAAACTGAACAAGTAAATCCCCATTAGGAAAATTATCGGAAGCCGCATACCCATCATTCTGTTCTTTATCTGTAAAACAATTGTAATCAAAGGTGCCTGTATAATATCAGTCCTATGAATAAATAAACGTGCATGCATTGCATTGTTCTTTTGCCTACATATATAAAATGGCGAACTTACCTTGACCAATGAAGCACATGTAGCTTAAACAATCATTGACTATTAAATGATATATCAAAATAGCATTTGTCGTTTTTTTCCCAAATTTGACTCTCGTGCATGAGTAATAAACTGAGAGTCAAGAATGACTCTCAAGAATGACTCTCAGTTGATTACTCAGACATAGGGAATTATTTGTAACAATTTATCTAGAGTCGAACTCATAAACCTAACAAACGAAAAGTCAGGTTTAATGGTGATATTAATTGCAGTTGCATATGATTTATGTCCCCTTCTCATAGTATCAAATGAACTACATATAAAATTTACGCCTACAATTAATTAAGATTCAGAACTAACTACTTCTCGCACCTAGCTACGGTCCCTGAGAGGAAGCGGTGTGTGGTACACCTATATAAAAACCAGGTTTTTTCACTCCTAAACTGGGGCCCACAATGACTTTTTAATTTACCCTTACCAATGGTTGTTAAAGGGATAATGTGTTCTACTGTCACCATCAATTTAAGTTAAAGAACACTTTTTTCCGCGCGATGGTGGCGACGGCGGTGACAGTTTTGTTGGCAGTAATAAGGGGTTGTGCTCTTTTTTTGTTTTGTTTTGTTTCAAGATATATTATGGAAATGTAGTAAAAAATTTTAAAACACAAAGAAGAGTAACATGAAAGTTTCAAAACATAATAGACAATGATAAAAATATATAGCAGATGCTTTCCAGATAAAAAATTACGCTGTATATGAAAGGTCTCTATTGTTACGACTTGTGTTATACTTAAAACTCTTTGTGAAAAAACATCCATTACTTCTCTGGAATTTTACTGTCTACTTCTCGGTTTAATCCACCTAGAACTGAACACGTTTATATTAATAATATCAATTGTTTAGCTCATTTATAATGAATATTGTTAAACGCCAGCCCGCCTTCGCTTTTTTCCTTCTTTTCATCAAAAATGAAAGCAAATGCTGACAAAGAAAGCAATGAAAACTAATAAAATAAACCCTGAAGTAGGCAGAGAAATACAGAAAAACTTACCTATAGACCTATTTTTGTATTCGGGAGGTAGTTTCTCAATCGGGTCATCAGGTCTGCAGTGATAAAAAGGTAGTATGCCTAAGGGCTGTCTAATGGAAGACAAAAATACTGTAAATCAGTTGTGACGCACATTTTATCATGTTATCACGTTGTAAATATATGGTATTAACCACAATTTAAGATTAAGGGGCGTTTTGTTGAAAAGGCGCGAGAATCATTACAAATGGCCCCAGTGACAGGGCAACTTTACCAGTTTTATATCTATAGATCAAACTTCTAGTGGTGTTCAGAGGGTCAAGTCCCTTATTTCACAAATCAGGCATTCATCAATCCTACTCTTTTAAGGCACCTTGACTGGAGTCTAGCTTCACTGGTTAGACTGTTCGACGTACCTCTAGGGCGATTAGACGTCGTGTTTACATTGGAATCCGATTACATATCAAACAAAATATCATTTTTGGTACTTACTTGATGCAGTTCTTCGGCTTTTACACGAACAAGCCCTTTATGACTTTGGTTAAGTGACGTGGGCACATTCTTCAGTAGACAGACACCACACTGAGGTACACTATGTTCGCTGTTCTACTTATTCGTCATAATGAGGACGTGAGAGCTTGCGTGTCGGTTAATAACCAGGCCAGACGAACTTAATGACAATGGCCATGCAATATCTCTTTTCAAAAACACATTTATTTAGAATGATAAACGCATGCGCTACATGTATGTCATGTGAATTGTGTGTGATTAGAATAAATTCGTGAAAGTCATTCTTTTCTAGTTGACCTGCGATCACAATTAAATGTTTGATAAGTATTTAAAATTAGGATTATAATAACTCTCAACAGATATATAACTAAAAGAATTTAATTTGTCTGCCCTGGCCCTGTGTAGGCAACATACAAAACCCATCGCAAAAAGTACTATTTGTTTTAAAATACATGTATATGTTATACGAGTTTGAAAATGCCCCAAATATCCTGCGAACTTACTTTTTTTGCCTATCCAAACCTTAAAAATGATAAAATCCTTCAAATAAAAGTACCAGCTGTCGATATTTTCAGAGAAGGACTTGGTGGTCTGAATGACTCATAACTACATCATCACCAAAATATCATCCTGTACATAGAGGTTCCATATTCTCCACTACACTCCCTACAATACGTTTTCAAATAAAGTACAAAGCAAAATATAAACTGGTGTAAAAATGGGAAATTTCCTGTTCGCTATCAACCAATTTTTTAAGAATAAGAATATCAATCAAATAAATTAATTTTTGCTGGTACGACGAGAAATTTATGTGTGGCCACATCAAGAGGATAAAAAAAAAAAAGGAAAAGAATATATATTCTCCGGTATCATATAGTCCGCCGTTATTGCTCTGTGTACAAAAATGTTCGTGTGTGTGTTTGTGTATGTGTGAGAGTGGGTTTATATATTTATACTGTGTATTTGTTTGTGTCGGAAATAAAGAATTAAAAAAGAAAAGAACAAAAAAGAAATAAATAAAATAAAACGCTTGGACGGCACACTATCTTGAACAATTATTATTTTCTTTCTGTATTTTTAATGAAATAACGATTGCTCTCTATTATTTTCTAAACGTTACAAATTTGTGTAAAGGAAGGCTGTTACTGATCAAGCAAATATGATCTATTGTCTATTATCCTATTCTTTTTTTGCTGGCAACTAGGAAATATATTAAAACGTTTTATTCCATCTCTTTGAAGCTATCAAAACAGCTTTATGGTACACAATGAGTTTACAAAGTTTACAAAATCGACTGTATGGTATTAGTCGATGTACAATCAGCTACCATGTTTCTCAACAGTGACACATATGAAATGGAAAATCCAATAAAACTCAAGAAGTGAATTTAAAACAGACTGTATAAAACCAGCGGACATGCAACGTTGATTATGTACATAAATATACATGTATTTTGATTCATTATTTATGAATAAGGCGTTTCCTTCTGTTCAATGTGTTTGACAAAGTGCTTGCCATCTTCAACGTCGAAAATTGGGGGATGAGAGAGATGCAAACGTATGTTTATTCGTACCGCTCCTCCTTCACGTTGATTGTGTAAGACTTCTGATAGCATGGGAAAAGGGAAATAGTAAACAATTTAGAAAGAGCTCCCACCTAAAAAAATTAATATTTTTTTATTCTCTATTTATTTAATATGAGAAAATAAAGCAAAGAAAAAAGTTAGACACGATCAAATAAATCATATTTCTTTATTGATATTATATCAACTGACATACAGGCGCCTCTAAAACGCCGCCCTTTCACTGTCTTATTTATGGAAATGGTCTCACTCTGTTTTGTCTTTAAAAACAAGAGCCTCGGACCGAATCTTGATATCACCAAAACTACCAAGTGTAATCGAGCCAGTGTAAATGAGTGCTCGGATGTGCGTGCTCAATTATGTCAAATTGCCTGAGGGTGTTGCAACCAAATTTCATGTCGACAGGATTCAAGGACATTGTGCCAATGTTAATTAGGGGAGGAGAAGGTGACTAATTTTCCTTCGAAGTTTTTATCACATTTGCTTGTTCCCTTCAAAGTAAATACATAAAACGTTTTTTTTAATTAAAAAGACCTGCAGAATAAAAATAATAAGCATATATTAAGCACAGATGTACACAAACTCGGGGGCAGATCCAAAGAAACTTTCTGAAAGTCTTCCAAATGATCTTTGTTGATCCATCCCCTATTTCTGACCGTTTTCTGACAGAAAAAAATAGATGCTCGTCAATGTAAACTTGAAACTTCTGACCGTCTTTCACCAGCAAAAGGGTCACTTAATGTAAGTTCAACTAGAAAAGCACTCCGAGAGCACAGACGCCAAGGCAGCAATTTTTTATAGTAATTGATTGATTATTGATCCGGATCACCATCAAATACTAATCATCTCTTCCTTGGCCCACTTCTGACAGTTCCTGAAAATTTCATCAAAATCGGTCCATAACTTTTTGAGTTATGTTGATGACAAACAAACAAACAGACAGACAAACAGGGGTGAAAACATAACCTCCTTGGCGGAGATAATAATTTGATTTATACACATTTCTGAATGATAAAAATTGCTTCAAATGGTCCAAAATGGAAGAATTAATTTACCTTTGAAATCGTCGGATTTTTAAGGAGATCGTCAAACAACTTGACCAAACCGAATAGATATTTACGTGGTAGAATATTTCAAATTATGAGAAGTATTTTCAAAACTAGAAATATGTTTTTGGCACAGAAAATCTATCTATAGCTGCACAATGGAAAGGCAGCGGCCGATTTTAGAAAAAATGCAGAACTTAGGCTTACATGTAGGCCTACGTGTAAGGTCGTCAAATCATATTTCATATGCAGAAAAATGCCTCAAAGAAATGGTACAAATTTGAAAAAAAAAAAAAAAAAAAAAAAAAAAAAAAAAAAAAACACTCCAGCGAGGTGGAGGGTCGATTGCTGATTGTAGGCCCTATCTTTCTGGTCTGATTAATATAATCTATTAAAGCCTAATCTTACATGTATAGAAATTATTATTATAAATTAGGTCCTTTAGGCCTATTATATTAGCCTATAAATTAGAATTAGGCTATTTGCACCAGGGTCATTCCATAAGGAAGTGAACACTCTATATTCCCTACTCCCAACACTGCAGATTGCTTATCTGGCGAAGAAGTGGCGAGTAACCAGACTACAAAAAAATCGGCAAAAGTAGGCCCTATTTTAAAATAAAAGTAGGCCCTATTTTAAAATAAAAGTAGGCCCGAAGGGCTCATTCTCATCGAAACTATCGGTCTACGCGTAGATCGATCCAACTCCACGGGATCTCTCTCTGAATGCAATCAGTTAAAAAGATTTTAATGTTTTAAAAAACACATTATAGGTAGGCCTATAGCCTAGATCTTAGTTTATGTCGGGCATGGCAAGAGGTGAATCTGTAAGCAGGCCTACAACACGAAATCTATTGCATAGATGTACCCGGTGGCCTATAGGCCTAGGCCTGTTTTCTTAGATCTCTCTGTTTGAACGCGGACAATTTGAAATTAGGCCTACCATGCAGTAGGCCTATATAGGCCCTACTGTAGGCCTACTGTATGTTTATTTTTTGTCATTGAATCATAATATTGACTTATAAATTTTTGTTTTGTTTCAATTAGGGCCTATTATTTCATAGTTTTCCATTTTAATGACGCCACATATAGGGCCTATAGATTAGTCTACATGTAATGGAGAAATTTTGTTAGCCAGCAAATGGGAATTTCATTTACTTTACAAGAAGGTGGACTGCGTCAATAGTCACGTGACCTTTTTGTCCTTTTGGGGGAACGCCGAAGAAAAAAATGTTATCATTTGTAAATAACATCACAAAACAACTTGTGGAGGTATATAGAGAAATTTTTATATTATACTAAACATTTTAGCATAATAAATACTTAGCATACCAGAGAAATATGTTCATTAGGTTGTTAGTTTTCCCAGTGCCTTCCCCAATTTTTAATGGTACAATTCCATGATGGCGGATTCCGAGGTGTAAACAATATTACTGGCAGTCAGTCATTCTCGCATTTATAGTACCCGAAGATGGATATATCAAGGGCTATCTTTGGGGGAAGGTCCACAGAAGGATATAGCGCCAAAGCTTCAAATGGTAAGATTATCTACGTGTACCTAATTTAAGAGTAAAAGCACACAATATGTGGGTTGTTGCGAATCGATGACCCTGCGGTAGGCTGTGCATTTGATTTGCTCAGGAACAAATGAGACCAGTGTGGCAGTGTCATTATATTGGATATGAAGATTTTAAAAAGCTTTGTGCTTTAAAAGTGCTTGTTACTATGAACATACGTTTGAGGAATTACACACAGAAATGAAATAGATAACATGAATGGTTTTAGCACACAATAAAGACTTCCGGATATTTAATTGCTGCTGTTATTTCAGTGGATACGTTATCTGAAGACGAAGATGATGTTGGAGCGGCAGGAGATGGAATGAGCATCTCTGCTGTGCCTAAATATTCCATCAATGGGTCTGAGTTTACCCCTACGCCAGGGGGTCCCTTCTCGGCTCTCACCCCCTCAATGTGGCCCCAGGATCTGCTGAATAAAATAAACCATCCAGTGAGTATGTTGTTGTGTGGCTTGTATTGGGGTTCAATTACACATTAATATAAGTAATTTTTGATCCACAATATATATGTATGTTTCACTCAGTTGCGTTTTTATTTAAGTGGATATATATGATACAGTATCTAGTTTTGAGCCTCATGTTTCTATTTCCAGCCTGAAGATGCTACTGGTCAGGTTGATTATAGATATGATGAATTTGGTTTTAAAGTAGAAGAAGAAGGTATGTACAACATGCACATGAATTGTACAGTAATTTTATTTTTATAACTGGGTAGCATCTCAACATGTGCTTCTCTTTCTCTTTCTCTCTCTCAGAAATATTTGCCTGTTTGCTGTCCTTAGATATGATTCATAAAGTTGTTAACCCAATCCCACATGCAGGTTCTTTTACACAGTTTCTCTACATTTATTTGACACATAATACATGTAGGTGTACACTAATGGAAGTTATATAGATGTATAGATTGTTTAATCAATACAAATATACAATTTACCAGGAACCCATTGAGATTTACACGACATATTTACATCTATCTAGACAAAACTGTCGCAGTGATGCTGGTTTACATAATACAATGAAAAACACTTTTGAATATATGTAGAGTTTTTGTTTCTATAGATTAAGTTTAGATACCATTTTAACATTGCCTAACATGTATTGCAATACTTAGTTTTCGCATGACTGACTGTGAGCCATAGAATAATGCCTTCCTCGTAGTGTGTGCAAAATGGTTGAAATTTGCTTGTAAGATTTATATTATGTTTGAAACAGTGCCTAGATTCATTTCAAGGTATTTTGAATCAAATACATGATGGAAAAGGGAAGTAGGTACAAAGGCTTAATCCTTTAAAATTTATATTTCATAGCTTTAAAAAATTTTAAGTTCTGCATGTTGTATATGCACTTTCTTATTGATATGCTCCATATGAATAAAGGTAATTTTATGTCATGATTTAAATAATCTTTATCATATCAAAGGCAATGACAGTCATCTTTTCCTCAGTGAGAGCAAGGGGATATGCAACTATATTTTTAAAAAAATTACATTTCCACCAGGTGAATCTTTTGAAAATAAATGGGTGCAATAAGTAATAAAATGGTTTATTATTGGTATATTTGTAAATTAGTATGAGGAAAACTATTAAGTGCGACTTTAATAAAAATAGACTACCCTTGATATGAAGACAATCAAGTGAAAGACGTCTTCAACTTTTAAGGTTTCATGCAGCACAGTCCTTTTCATTTTCAAGAGATAGAGAAATTGTCAGAAAGCATATAGATGGTTCCCCAAAGGTTTCCATGATGAATCCCATGATAGCCTGTAGAGAAGTCCTCCTCTATTATATATAAAACACCCCAAACATTCCCTATTGAGACTTAATTCATATTGTAATGCCTTTTTATGTGTTCATAGATGGTTCTGATGAAAATCCAGAACCCTGTGATGCATTTCATTTTCTAAATATTTGTAAATGGGAGCTGTGCAATTTGGTATCTCATGTTGAAATCCCCATCCTTTTATATACTCATATTTAATGGATAACATATCCTTAATATTCTCCAGTGGGAGCGAGGTGATTTTCTCTAAAATGGTTTTATCGTTATTATGTGTTCCAACCTAACCCCAATGAAAGTTCCTTTCTTCTGCTAAAATATTTTGATATTTTGATTATTTTTCTAACAGGTGTGACAGGATTTTCTTTCATATTGTAATGTTTTTATTTTGAATTTCAAGATGGCCCTGAGGAAAATTCCAGCCCTCTGTTAAGCACACCTTTCATAGAAGATGCTCAGCACAGGCTGAAGTGGACTGCATACTTGGAGTTTTCGCATAATCATGAAGTAGGAGACCTCACTTGGGATAAGGTACTTAATTTGTTTTTGTTTATTTTTGATAACAAGAACAATCTGTGTTAATGTAATATTCACAACGACATAATATTTAAATTCTGTGTCACTTTCATCTGTGTAGCAATCCAAAATTTTGATAAGAAAATTTAACTAAATAATGGTTTCTAAGTTACTAAAGTGCATAAGTTTAAACTGTCTCATCATCATTTGTATGGTAACCTGTAAATATTAAAAATTAAACTAATAACTCTTTGATTATTTCCTATATTTTTTATATACTATAGTAATCCTTTATGCCACAATGTATGTCTGCATCATTGAGTACCACCTAGAGTGTTAGAGGACCTCTACTGTCAGCATACCTCTGGTGTTTACTGGCATCAGCTGAGACATGCTGGTAGTAGAATAGTTAATTTTTAATGTCCTCTTATTCTCATGGTGCTGAGTACACAATTGTGTGATAATGATCAATTTTTTTCCATAANAGATATTCGGTTGTAGGGACATTATTTTCTAGTTGTGCTTAACTCTGACCATGGCTGGCCGAGTTAAAAATTACCGCGTGATTGACAGACAGAAGCACGTGTTGCTACCGCAGCGCCCTCTGGTGATCGATCGATGAGACGATCGATGAGAATAGTTACACGATCAACGAGATTAGACGATCGACGAGAATAGTTACACGATCGACGAAAACAGTTTGACGATCGACGAGATTAGTTACACGATCAACGAAAATAGTGACAGCATTGGTTTTAATACACCATAGATGAGAAATGTTTGACAATTGAATTGACGAAAGTAGATGTTGAATTTATGACAGGATCGTTTAAACTTTAAACTGAATCGATGGGAAGCCAGTGAATTGACGAAACATAACTGAATCGACGACATGAATTTTTGCCCTTTTGGCCGCCCATAGGAACCCATTGAGATTTACACGACATATTTACATCTATCTAGACAAAACTGTCGCAGTGATGCTGGTTTACATAATACAATGAAAAACACTTTTGAATATATATAGTTTTTGTATCTGTAGATTAAGTTTAGATACCATTTTAACATTGCCTAAGGTGTGTTGCAATACTTAGTTTTCGCATGACTGACTGTGAACCATAGAATAATGCCTTCCTCGTAGTATGTGCAAAATGGTTGAAATTTGCTTGTAAGATTTATATAATGTTTGAAACAGTGCCTAGATTCATTTCAAGGTATTTTGAATCAAATACATGATGGAAAAGGGAAGTAGGTACAAAGGCTTAATCCTTTAATATTTATATTTCAAAGCTTTTTAAAAAAATTAAGTTCAGCATGTTGTATATGCACTTTCTTATTGATATGCTCCATATGAATAAAGGTAATTTTATGTCATGATTTAAATAATGTTTATCATATCAAAAGCAATGACAGTCGTCTTTTCCTCAGTGAGAGCAAGGGGATATGCAACTATATTTAAAAAAAAATTACATTTCCACCAGGTGAATCTTTTGAAAATAAATGGGTGCAATAAGTATAAAATGGTTTATTATTGGCATATTTGTAAATTAGTATGAGGAAAACTATTAAGTGCGACTTTAATAAAAATAGACTACCCTTGATATGAAGACAATCAAGTGAAAGGCGTTTTCAACTTTTAAGGTTTCATGCAGCACAGTCCTTTTCATTTTCAAGAGATAGAGAAATTGTCAGAAAGCATATAGATGGTTCCCCAAAGGTTTCCATGATGAATCCCATGATAGCCTGTAGAGAAGTCCTCCTCTATTATATATAAAACACCCCAAACATTCCCTATTGAGACTTAATTCATATTGTAATGCCTTTTTATGTGTTCATAGATGGTTCTGATGAAAATCCAGAACCCTGTGATGCATTTCATTTTCTAAATATTTGTAAATGGGAGCTGTGCAATTTGGTATCTCATGTTGAAATCCCCATCCTTTTATATACTCATATTTAATGGATAACATATCTATTCTCCAGTGGGAGCGAGGTGATTTTCTCTAAAATGGTTTTATCGTTATTATGTGTTCCAACCTAACCCCAATGAAAGTTCCTTTCTCCTGCTAAAATATTTTGATATTTTGATTATTTTTCTAACAGGTGTGACAGGATTTTCTTTCATATTGTAATGTTTTTATTTTTAATTTCAAGATGGCCCTGAGGAAAATTCCAGCCCTCTGTTAAGCACACCTTTCATAGAAGATGCTCAGCACAGGCTGAAGTGGACTGCATACTTGGAGTTTTCGCATAATCATGAAGTAGGAGACCTCACTTGGGATAAGGTACTTAATTTGTTTTTGTTTATTTTTGATAACAAGAACAATCTGTGTTAATGTAATATTCACAATGTCATAGTATTTAAATTCTGTGTCACTTTCATCTGTGTAGCAATCCAAAATTTTGATAAGAAAATTTAACTAAATAATGGTTTCTAAGTTACTAAAGTGCATAAGTTTAAACTGTCTCATCATCATTTGTATGGTAACCTTTAAATATTAAAAATTAAACTAATAACTCTTTGATTATTTCCTATATTTTTTATATACTATAGTAATCCTTTATGCCACAATGTATGTCTGCATCATTGAGTACCACCTAGAGTGTTAGAAGACCTCTACTGTCAGCATACCTCTGGTGTTGACTGGTATCAGCTGAGACATGCTGGTAGTAGAATAGTTAAATTTTAATGTCCTCTTATTCTCATGGTGCTGAGTACACAATTGTGTGATAATGATCAATTTTTTTCCATAAGGTTGAATCTCGTTTACCACACTCGGAGAAATTCCGTGGTATGATCAAACAAGGCATTCCTCACTCTCTGCGCCCCCAGATTTGGCTGCGTCTCACTGGAGCTCTGGACAAGAAACAGAACTCTGATACTTGTTATAAGGACATTGTCAAAGCCAGTGGAAATGATCATCTCATGACATCCAAACAGATTGAAAAGGTAAAACATCTCTTTAAAGTAATTGAATTAAGATTCATATATTGCAGACAAATTTGATTAGTTTAAGATTAAGGAAAGCTTTTCAGTAATCTTGCATTTTTTTTTGACTGAGATGGGGTATAGCATAGGTAGTGTGAGTAGAGAACAATAAAGAAAATAGAAGTTCTTTGTAAAGAAGGATCTGCAGTATTACAAATTAAAATGCAACTTAAACTGTTCGTGGGTTGAAGTTAAGGCATAAAAAAGAAATAGGTTACAAAAACTGTTATGTGATAGAAAATGGACTCAGAAGAGCATGGCAAATTCCAGGAAGCCAGCGTGTTTAGATAATTGGCATTGATACACCAATCTCTTACTAGAGATGAATTGGTTGGGACTAATGTTGTGATAATGGAGAAATGATTAACATAGGACTTTGCAATGTGCACACAATAATTGATACTGACACATAATGGATTTTTTAGCTGCACTGTAAATTTATACATAATGATAGAATGTGCAGTTTCAGCAGAAGGGCTGAAAAGCTGATTGCATAAGTGATGTTGTTTGAAAAAATATAAGATGAAAAATGCATCAATAATCTGTGACTTGTCAAAAGTATTCTGGAATTCGACATTTTTATCCTATACCTGTGTGTGTGTGTGTGTGTGTGTGTGTGTGTGTGTGTGTGTGAGTGTGTTTGTTTTACATCTGAAAAAGATATAGTATGGAGAAAAAAGTGTGATTTTATCAAAATTAGGGATCATTTTGCTCAATAAGCAGCTTAGCAATTTTATCTTTCCTTACATTCATCTGTATATTTTAAACAATCAACTTTGTTCCAGGACTTACTTCGTACAATGCCCAGCAACGCATGCTTCTGCAACATCAACAGTACGGGTATCCCGCGACTGCGGAGGATCCTGAGAGGCTTGGCGTGGCTGTACCCAGACATTGGCTACTGTCAGGGTACAGGAGTGGTAAGAAAACACAGACACCAGAGTTTCATTATGAGGATATCACTGCTCTAGTGTCTACATTTCTTTACAAAGATTCTGTCAGTGCTCTCAGTTGCTGTCTAGCACATCATTCAAAATACAGATTTTATCTGTGAAATCAGAGGGTATGGAAATCAATAGTACTAATATAAAGGCCTTATTTCTCTCTCCTGCCATGTGATTTTGCTCCAAGGTGTGGAATTGTGTGTCTTGCAGATTGCTGCTAACTTGCTGCTTTTCTTGGAAGAAGAAGAGACATTCTGGATGATGTGTGCTATTATAGAAGATCTGCTACCAGCTTCCTACTATTCCAGTACTCTGCTTGGGATACAGGTATGGACAGGATTTTATGTTCTGTGTCAAAAGTAAAAAAAAAAAATATAGCAATTTTAGGGGTAATAGAGAGAAAATGTGTACTTTACATCTCTCAGAACTTAAAGTGCTTGATTTGGTGTTTGAATGATAAGAAATTGGTTATATTTATTTGCTTCATATTTATAATATAGTCTTCAATGTTTATTGCTGATGGTGATAATATTGTCTCATTTATTTATTATTAAGGGTTATTTGCACATTGGACTATTCTGTGTTTATTGCTGATGGTGATAATATTGTCTCATTTATTATGTACAGACACAGATGTGTCTGNCAAATGAATAATTTAGATACTTTTCATACACCTTGCTCAACATGCTACACCTTGTAATAATTTAGTGGGATTCTTGTGATGTCAAGTGCTCTTTTCATAGCACTTTTAGACTAGTTAGGAGAGGATTTAATCTTAGATAAACTTGCAATCAATTTCCATAGGCCTCCTTAAAAGGCTAACACAAATAGTCTTGTTTGCTGATTTGGTAAATCCACAGCTCCAGATAAAAAAGAAGTGATAAATTCCAGGGCTACAAACTCGAGTATTTCAAATACTCATGCTTCAGATTACAGTTTAGGCAGCAAGAGAAACCTCTGTCAAAATGCCTCTGTTTTATTATCTTCAGTTTTTTTTTAATTTATGGAAATCTTAAAGACTATGTCAGATCTGTTGTGTGTGATGCCATTTAGTTCATTAGTTCATGATTTGCACAACAGAGATAAAAATGTGCGTGTATGTGTGTGTTTATACTCAGGGATAACAAGTTTCATCAAAAAAATGTATTGCTGTGCTAGTCTGCTAGAGATATTTTATAAAAGGCTTCCATCTGCTAGTGCAAAATCAGTATCACCAGAAAGAGATATGTATTATAATTCTCTTATCCTTTCAACTGATTTGGAAAAGACATGCAGATGACAACAGTTAGGGGGCATTTGAGATAACCAGATTTTAATGCTAGTTAAGTTTTCTAACAACTGACTACAACATCCATGAGAATATGTACACAGACTTTCAGCTACCTGGTAACTGTGAAATTTCTGGCTATGAAAACATTGGTATCAGATTGGTATATACTTAGAGATTTGTCCAGTGATTTTCCAACCCTTGATTAGCATGTACACTCTTTCCCCCCAAACAGGCAGACCAGAGAGTGCTGCGACATCTCATTATAAGTTATCTTCCTGATGTGGACTTGGTGCTTAAGGAACATGATATTGGTAGGTTATCCATGACTTATTCTTTCTAGCCAATTTTTAGTTTTATGTGAATTGATAATAAAATTGTTCAAGTTATTGTTGCATTTTTTTTCATACAAATATATAAATTTTAGCACTGTTGAGGGCAGCAAATGATAAAAGCAATGAAAATTTAATGATTCTGTTTATTTTTGACATTGGCAAAAATTAAAGTGACAAATGAGAGCTCTGTTGCAAGGGGGGAGGGCATTACTTATTAGTGCTTTTCAATGTCACCAGTGTCAGATCTATGCAACAAATTTACAAACACATTAACAGTCTTAACAATTTCTCTTCTCATACATAATCTTTAGAGAATGATCTTCAGCATGAAGTGGGTTGCTTGTTGAAGGTCATTTCTTTTTTGTCCAAATTTTTCAGAGCATGACCAACTACAAATATTATTATGATATGACAAACTTGCTGCTGATTCATCTTTTTTTTCATATTTTCTATCTTTCAGAGTTGTCTCTGATCAGCCTCCATTGGTTCCTGACTCTCTTTGCCAGTGTGGTGCACATCAAGGTGCTGCTCAGACTATGGGACCTGTTCTTCTATGAAGGTTCTAGAGTGTTATTCCAGATCACACTGGGCATGCTGAAGATGAAGGTTGGTAGTTGTACTCAGACATGTACTTACTCACTTACCTAAACAGCAATTAATATATGTAAGATGTTACAAGGGAACCTGGGACAGGTTATATACAGGTTATACAAACATACAGTGGGCAATTAAACCTATATGTAACAAAATTGTTTGTGATGTAAGTTGATACCATACATCGAATACCTGCAAAGAGTGAGAAGTGGTGCATTTAGGTTCAAGTCACATCATTTCCATAATTTTTTTTTTTTTGGTGACAAGAAAACTCAGTGAAACAAATAAAAACCAGATGTTGTATATCTGTTTTATTCAAAGTTATAAAAATGTGTTATATCTGTGGTGGTTATTTGTAACATTGAAGTAGAAGATATAGTGTATTCAACCTGTTGAAAAATTTCTACTGTGATAATGTATAGGTATTGGAGTGAAGAAAGTAAAACAAGGAGAGGCTAGGTATTTTATATTGAGGAAGCTCAGGCCTATCTTATCCCTGTGACCTAGTTGCCTAATGTGCCTAAGATATTGCTAAAATACACTATCTGTAAAATGTACAGGTGTTCAGATTAACTTGGTCGACAAGATTAGGGATTTCCCTTCCTGTGGCTGTGTATTATTTTGAGCAGTGCAACACAAGGGTTATCTGAACTGGACAAAATTCAGACTTTTCTGTCTTTTTACTGTCAGTACTGCATAAAACATACCCTAGGTTTGTTATTATACAGTAAGTAAAATTGATTTCTTTGAGGAATTTTGTTAATTTTTCCTTTTATTTCTGAAGGAACAAGAATTGCTAAGCCTGGACAACTCAGCCCAGATCTTCAATGCACTGTCGGATGTCCCAGGAGATGTCCAGGATGTGGAGGAAGCTATAGAGGTGAGCGATCTTATCTTCAGTCTAGATGCCAAACTGGATTGCAACTTACAATAAAGTGCTCAAGATGAATGTTAGACTTCCATTTTGGCATAATAAATAAGTAAATAGATAAACAAATAAGATCCAGAAAATTTAAATACCATTTCCTCAGTCACCAAGGACCAGGTTTGCCTCATCCATAACAACAGACAGGATTATAATCTATAAATTTGTTTTCAGTTCTCAGTTTCTACTTTTGACTCACTTTTGTAATAGGAATGGAGAAGGAATTTCACTTGTAACAGTACAAGTAGAAATTAAGAATTAAATATAGAAGTTTATAGATGGTGATATTTTCAACAATTTTGGGTAGGATTTACCATGATGATTGAGGGGAAAACCACTGGATTTACTATTTTCAGATCTAAGGCATATCGTTTGCCTTTAAGGCACATGATGGCAGTATCACTCTCCATGACATTGCTACCAGTTTTAGTATTATTTATCAACTCATCTACAAAAAAATNGTTAGAAAAAATATAAGATGAAAAATGCATCAATAATCTGTGACTTGTCAAAAGTATTCTGGAATTCGACATTTTTATCCTATACCTGTGTGTGTGTGTGTGTGTGTGTGTGTGTGTGTGTGTGTGTGTGTGTGTGTGTGTGTGTTTGTTTTACATCTGAAAAAGATAAAGTATGGAGAAAAAAGTGTGATTTTATGAAAATTAGGGATCATTTTGCTCAATAAGCAGCTTAGCAATTTTATCTTTCCTTACATTCATCTGTATATTTTAAACAATCAACTTTGTTCCAGGACTTACTTCGTACAATGCCCAGCAACGCATGCTTCTGCAACATCAACAGTACGGGTATCCCGCGACTGCGGAGGATCCTGAGAGGCTTGGCGTGGCTGTACCCAGACATTGGCTACTGTCAGGGTACAGGAGTGGTAAGAAAACACAGACACCAGAGTTTCATTATGAGGATATCACTGCTCTAGTGTCTACATTTCTTTACAAGGATTCTGTCAGTGCTCTCAGTTGCTGTCTAGCACATCATTCAAAATACAGATTTTATCTGTGAAATCAGAGGGTATGGAAATCAATAGTACTAATATAAAGGCCTTATTTCTCTCTCCTGTCATGTGATTTTGCTCCAAGGTGTGGAATTGTGTCTTGCAGATTGCTGCTAACTTGCTGCTTTTCTTGGAAGAAGAAGAGACATTCTGGATGATGTGTGCTATTATAGAAGATCTGCTACCAGCTTCCTACTATTCCAGTACTCTGCTTGGGATACAGGTATGGACAGGATTTTATGTTCTGTGTCAAAAGTAAAAAAAAAAAATAGCAATTTTTGGGGTAATAGAGAGAAAATGTGTACTTAACATCTCTCAGAACTTAAAGTGCTTGACTTGGTGTTTGACTGATAATAAATTGGTTATATTTATTTGCTTCATATTTATAATATAGTCTTCAATGTTTATTGCTGATGGTGATAATATCGTCTCATTTATTTATTATTAAGGGTTATTTGCACAGTGAACTATTTAGTGTACACTGTAACTGGATGGCCAAATGAATAATTTAGGTACTTTTCATACACCTTGCTCAACATGCTACACCTTGTAATAATTTAGTGGGATTCTTGTGATGTCAAGTGCTCTTTTCATAGCACTTTTAGACTAGTTAGGAGAGGATTTAATCTTAGATAAACTTGCAATCAATTTCCATAGGCCTCCTTAAAAGGCTAACACAAATAGTCTTGTTTGCTGATTTAGTAAATCCACAGCTCCAGATAAAAAAGTAGTGATAAATTCCAGGGCTACAAACTCGAGTATTTCAAATACTCATGCTTCAGATTACAGTTAAGGCAGCAAGAGAAACCTCTTTCAAAATGCCTCTGTTTTATTATCTTCAGTTTTTTTTTTAATTTATGGAAATCTTAAAGACTATGTCAGATCTGCTGTGTGTGATGTCATTTAGTTCATTAGTTCATGATTTGCACAACAGAGATAAAAATGTGCGTGTATGTGTGTGTTTATACTCAGGGATAAAAAGTTTCATCAAAAAATTTTATTGCTGTGCTAGTCTGCTAGAGATATTTTATAAAAGGCTTCTATCTGCTAGTGCAAAATCAGTATCACCAGAAAGAGATATGTATTATAATTCTCTTATCCTTTCAACTGATTTGGAAAAGACATGCAGATGACAACAGTTAGGGGGCATTTGAGATAACCAGATTTTAATGCTAGTTAAGTTTTCTAACAACTGACTACAACATCCATGAGAATATGTACACAGACTTTCAGCTACCTGGTAACTGTGAAATTTCTGGCTATGAAAACATTGGTATCAGATTGGTATATACTTAGAGATTTGTCCAGTGATTTTCCAACCCTTGATTAGCATGTACACTCTTTCCCCCAAACAGGCAGACCAGAGAGTGCTGCGACATCTCATTATAAGTTATCTTCCTGATGTGGACTTGGTGCTTAAGGAACATGATATTGGTAGGTTATCCATGGCTTATTCTTTCTAGCCAATTTTTAGTTTTATGTGAATTGATAATAAAATTGTTCAAGTTATTGGTGCATTTTTTTCATACAAATATATAAATTTTAGCACTGTTGAGGGCAGCAAATGATAAAAGCAATGAAAATTTAATGATTCTGTTTATTTTTGACATTGGCAAAAATTAAAGTGACAAATGAGAACTCTGTTGCAAGGGGGGAGGGCATTACTTATTAGTGCTTTTCAATGTCACCAGTGTCAGATCTATGCAACAAATTTACAAACACATTAACAGTCTTAACAATTTCTCTTCTCATACATAATCTTTAGAGTATGATCTTTAGCATGAAGTGGGTTGCTTGTTGAAGGTCATTTCTTTTTTTCCAAATTTTTCAGAGCATGACTAACTACAAATATTATTATGATATGACAAACTTGCTGCTGATTCATCTTTTTTCATATTTTCTATCTTTCAGAGTTGTCTCTGATCAGCCTCCATTGGTTCCTGACTCTCTTTGCCAGTGTGGTGCACATCAAGGTGCTGCTCAGACTATGGGACCTGTTCTTCTATGAAGGTTCTAGAGTGTTATTCCAGATCACACTGGGCATGCTGAAGATGAAGGTAGGAAGTTGTACTCAGACATGTACTTACTCACTTACCTAAACAGCAATTAATATATGTAAGATGTTACAAGGGAACCTGGGACAGGTTATATACAGGTTATACAAGCATACAGTGGGTATTAAACCTATGTGTAACAAAATTGTTTGTGATGTAAGTTGATACCATACATCGAATACCTGCAAAGAGTGAGAAGTGGTGCATTTAGGTTCAAGTCACATCATTTCCATAAAATTTTTTTTTTTTGGTGACAAGAAAACTCAGTGAAACAAATAAAAACCAGATGTTGTATATCTTTTTTATTCAAAATTTTAAAAATGTGTTATATCTGTGGTGGTTATTTGTAACATTGAAGTAGAAGATATAGTGTATTCAACCAGTTGAAAATTTTCTACTGTGATAATGTATAGGTATTGGAGTGGAGAAAGTTAAACAAGGAGAGGCTAGGTATTTTATATTGAGGAAGCTCAGGCCTATCTTATCCCTGTGACCTAGTTGCCTAATGTGCCTAAGATATTGCTAAAATACACTATCTGTAAAATGTACAGGTGTTCAGATTAACTTGGTCGGCAAGATTAGGGATTTCCCTTCCTGTGGCTGTGTATTATTTTGAGCAGTGTAACACAAGGGTTATCTGAACTGGACAAAATTCAGACTTTTCTGTCTTTTTACTGTCAGTACTGCATAAAACAGACCCTAGGTTTGTTATTATACAGTAAGTAATATTGATTTCTTTGATGAATTTCGTTAATTTTTCCTTGTATTTCTGAAGGAACAAGAATTGCTAAGCCTGGACAACTCAGCCCAGATCTTCAATGCACTGTCAGATGTCCCAGGAGATGTCCAGGATGTGGAGGAAGCTATAGAGGTGAGTGATCTTATCTTCAGTCTAGATGCCAAATTGGATTGCAACTTACAATAAAGTGCTCAAGATGAATGTTAGACTTCCATTTTAGCATAATAAATAAGTAAATAGATAAACAAATAAGATCCAGAAAATTTAAATACCATTTCCTCAGTCACCAAGGACCAGGTTTGCCTCATCCATAACAACAGACAGGATTATAATCTATTAAATTTGTTTTCAGTTCTCAGTTTCTACTTTTGACTCACTTTTGTAATAGGAATGGAGAAGGAATTTCACTTGTAACAGTACAAGTAGAAATTAAGAATTAAATATAGAAGTTTATAGATGGTGATATTTTCAACAATTTTGGGTAGGATTTACCATGATGATTGAGGGGAAAACCACTGGATTTACTATTTTCAGATCTAAGGCATATCGTTTGCCTTAAGGCACATGATGGCAGTATCACTCTCCATGACATTGCTACCAGTTTTAGTATTATTTATCAACTCATCTACAAAAAAATTTAAAAAAATTCATTTCATTCTACTTAATTCTACAAACTACTCGATTAGGGGCATTGTTTTGATGATTATTCAAAAATAAAAGAAATACTTTGATTGAAGTCTGTTATCTTGTAGTCATGGTAGAACAGTGTGTTTCATGTATTGCAGTACTTTAGATAAATTTCAATCCAACTTTTTGCTTGAAAGTGATGTAAATATGGTATGTCTAGTAAGTTCACAGGCTAGAATTTTACAGTTTGTATTATATAAGCTTATGTTAATTTGATAAAAAACAACAATATTTCAGACATCATATCGTGTTGCCAGCTCCCTCACAGATATGGTAGTAGAGTCTCACAGGAGAAAGCACCTGGCATATCTCATGGCTGATCAAGGAGCTCTTCTCAATCCAGAAAATTCCAGAAACTTACCAAAACAGGTATGTTAGAGGCTAATGGAAAAGGACCTGCACAATATACAAAAATTACTAAACAATATATCAGTATATTCCCTGTCAAAAAATTAACTTCATTCTATCTATTAATACAGTATTTGTATGAAGGTTTTTGCTTTAGTTGAGCCAGTTCATTTGTTGCCAGGGGCAACATTCAGTTGTCAATGTTTCCCAAATGTTGCCATCACTTTTGATCCAACTTTATAAACAGGTTTTATTTTTTTCTGTCATTTCTACCTTAAAAAACTTCAGAAGTTGAGTTAGAATTTTGTTACCCTTGTTTTGGAACTCCATAACTCCAGAAAGAGCTGAACCAGATACTTCATACATTTGATCACCATGATGTGTAGATAATATTGGCTGTGTGTCTGTACAGGTGTTATCATAGAAAGTTGATGTCTCCTTATTCCATCCCCCCAACCCCACCTCAACCCCCCCCCCCCCCAACCCACCTTGGTATTATCAGAGAGGAAGGGGTATGGATTAGACTCAGCTGTATTTATAGTGTCTCAACTGTTTTAGGTATTAGTGTATCATTTTTATTGCATATAAAGGGGCGACTGAACTGGTATCATAACAGCATGCATAGTTTATCACGATTAATGGCACTGTGATTAACTAATCAAAAAAATCAACACCTCACAATTTCAGAAGAGTGTCAATAAAGAGGGAACAGGCTGTGGTAGATTTTGTGTTTCTTTGTACTCCACCAAACCAGTGGTGAGTTCCCTGCACCCTATAATATGCCTTGATACACCCAAATGTATATTTGGCTTGACTATGTATTTGAAGATTGTATTTAGATAAGGTGGGAGGGAAACCTGGTTCGGAAAATCTTTGGTGGCACTTTTCCTCCATTAAGGTCCCCACTTGGTTTTACCTGCCTTGCACAGAGGGAGTTTAATATTGTGCATCTTGATGATAAACTTGATCTGGTGGTGGTCTTTCAGCATCATCTGGTATACTATAGCAATATATTAGCAATATTAACTGTCACTGAAGCTTTTTAATTATGCATATGTTATCTCTTATGGCATTTAGGCCTAAACTCCAGTTCTAGAATTATAATGGGCACAAGGTCTTCATCTTCATGCAAAATGTGTCAAAAACTATTTTTCCTTTTTTTCACATTTGTATCTGAGAAATATTCAAAGCATTCGGTATGTGGAAGTTTCTTGACAATTATATTTGTTGTGTGATAAATTTAAGAAGCTGATATTGATATTACCTTCAATAGAGCTATTTCTGACACTCACATGGAAGTGGTAATTTCAGGAGCAGATGACATTTTTGGGGACATTCATTCAATTAAATGTTTTGGGTGATGGATTTTTTATTTTGTTCTTATCAGAAAACCAGATAAATACTAACTTCCTTCTGTACTGATGGTTTCAGATAAAATATTTCAAGTTTAAATTTAGGTAATAGACTCTTGTATGTAAAATGTAAGGAATGGTCATGGTTTTATTGGGAATATCATACCTCAGTCATTACATAATGTTTTTATATATACCATGCCTGTGTATACAGTCTTATACTGTCATATAACTTACATTTAAATTCTCTCTCTCTCTCTCTCTCTCTCTCTGTATGACCATGTTATCTTTTGATAAGAAAATTTGTCTACAAAATAGTGTAAACATACTTATGCAAGTAAAAAAATATTTGTTTATAAATTTTTGTCTTAAGTGTCTACTGTTTTCTTTAATAGAAAATTTGCAGATAGCTTTCCACATGTTGCTATTCCTCTCTTGTAAAAAACACTAACTTTTTTACATACTTCACACAAGATATCAGTTTAATCACACTTTCCATCTTGATTTCTGGTTTGGCTAATTCATGATGTGCATGAGCAATCACATATAAGCAGTCTTGGAAAAGAATTATACAGGTAGCTCACCTGTGTCTTACCATGTTTGTACAGCTTAGTGTATGAACTTCCATATTCATAGCTTCACCTGGCATCTATATCCACAGTATTTTCAAGTATGTAAAATAAGCAAACAGAATTGCTATTCCAAAATTATGAAGGCACAACTTAAATCATTTCAGCAACTGAACAAACGCCATCTGAAGCGATCAAAGTCCTTGATCTCTTCTCTCCTCTGGGGAGAGGAGGATGAGGACGGTTTTGATGGGAAAGCCAAGAATATCAAGCAGACAGAGTTGTTGGTGGACATGAGGGAGGCCATTTTGCAAGTAGCCAGGCATTTCCAGTCCATAGACCCAAAGAACAGTAAAGTGGTAAGAAAGGAGCCAGTGAATAAAGATAAATGGTCTTTTGTGACCACTGAAAGATGTATACTGAATGTGCATAAAATTCTGATAGCTTTGTTAACTCATTAATATTTGAGAAATGAAAGTAAATAGAACAAAAAAAAATTTTCTTGGTCAATATTTTGTAAATGGATATGCATGATTGTATGTGCTTAACTGTATCAAAATAATTGATATTTTCTTTTAGAAAGTCACCCCTCTACTTTGGTTTTATCGTCAGTTGCAGTGCATGTGAAGAACCCACCCTTTTATGTGATAAATTAGTTTGTGAATGCACCTGTCCCCTCCCCACACCCCCCCCCCCCCATCCCTGCACATTACAAACATGTACTTGTTAATTGGGCACCTTTTGCCAATGAAAAGGTGCCTTATTCTTCTCTCCAGAAGCTTCAGGCTGACTACTCCATGGAAAGCCATGCCAAGGACATGGATAATTACTTGAATGTGGCCAGAACTCGTCGGCGGAGGGCCAAGGCGCTGCTGGACTTCGAGCGTCATGATGACGATGAACTGGGGTTCAGGAAAAATGATGTTATTACTGTGAGTTTATTAAGGATATTATCTTGATTACAAATCAGAGACTGTCTTAATAATCAAATTGTTAATAATGTGATGCTGTTTGGATTGACATTTTAAGGTTCATTTAATGTTTGTTTCAATACTTTGATATATCTGAAGTTTTGAATCAGTCTCTAGAAATACTTAGAAATACTTGATTGTCAGTAATCATTTCAGAAAGAATTGCAGTATAAGAAAAACTTATTTGTAGAGTTTCTAGGATATTGGGGTTAAAAAAAAACTTTCAGGCAAACAAGAATACCTCATGATAATTTGCACCATATTTGAAGAAGTGACAGTGCAGTTGCTTTTGTATGAAAGTAAAAAATATTTCTTGAAGTCACCATTTAACATAATTTCTGTGTAATTTTCTACTTAATATTACAGATAATCTCTCAGAAGGATGAGCACTGCTGGGTGGGAGAGTTGAATGGTTTGCGTGGCTGGTTTCCCGCAAAGTTTGTGGAGATGCTGGATGAGAGGAGCAAGGACTACTCCAGTGCTGGGGATGATTCTGTCACAGAAACCATAACTGATCTGGTCAGAGGAGTGTAAGTATAGACATTATAGGTAGCATATTTCAGTCTGATAGAAGTGCTGTAATAAGAGGGGGGGAAGGGGGTAGAGTTTCGTTGATGATTATGAAGTTTTTGTTGGAATAAAAAACTTATGTGGTGTAATGAGAATGCCTCCCTATGTGACACATTATATATATATTTAATAATGTGTTCAAAAAGTGCATATTGTGATAAATTAATATGGTGAATTTAGAATGATTTCTGTACAAATAAATATCAAGTATTATTCATTACCATTTGTCATATAAAATCTTCACACTCAAGTCCTTGACACACTTACGCTGAAGTTTGATTGATGTGTCTTGGTGTGACCCTTTTCTGCAGGATGTCTGGTCAGTTTAATTGCACCATAAATAACAGTGGGATTCTTCTGTTTTCTTTCTGGGCATGTCACTCTACTTACTCTGAAAAATGAAGAGTTGATGTTTGTTGCTTATTATGAGATTAGTTGAAGCACAGTTTTTACAAAGATGGAACAACCCAAATTCTATTCAAATGTGCCCTCTGATTGTACCATTTCCTTTACAGCCTGTGTCCAGCCTTGAAGGCTATATTTGAACATGGCCTTAAAAAACCACATCTTCTTGGTGGGACAGTTCACCCTTGGTTATTTATAGAGGAGGTAAGTTTTTTACTAATTAAATCAGCTTTATAACCATTAAATAAGTTAACTCACGTAATATAATCCCCACTGAATATTAAGCATAAAAACCCTGCAGTATACCACAGTGTATTTGTAAAAAAACTCTTTATTGCCTTTGGAATCATTTATTTTGTGCTTCATTTTTACCCAAGGTTTCAAAGTCTTCACTTGCTTGGGATTTTATTGAACTAGCTCAATAGATAATTATAAGCTCTCTATATATATTCAGGCAGCTACCAAAGAAGTTGAGAAAGACTTTAATTCTGTGTATTCAAGACTTGTGCTGTGTAAAACATACAGGTAAAATGTACATGATTGCAGTATGAACACAGCAAGATATCTACTTCACATTGGCTTTATATATATATATATATATATATATATATATATATATATATATATATATATATATATATATATATATATATATATATATACACACATACACACACACACACAATTAAAATCCTGGGTATGCCCGTGAAACTCGGAGTCGGGGTTATTGCATGTCTCTTATTTATTTATTTATTAATTTTATTGTGTCCAAATGCTCCGGACTGTTGAGCATTCTGTTCCACACTCACACTTGTTATATATATATATATATATATATATATATATATATATATATATATATATATATATATATATATATATATATATATATATAATGGCATTACCTTCTTTTCTTCTGTTATAATCATTGTAAAAATTAATTGAACTATTCAAGTTGACTGTTTGTTCTGCTATTAAAGATTAACTTATTAATTGATCATGGTTTTAATCAAATCATTTGATCGTAATTTTGATCATGCCATGCATCTTCTAGACTTGATGAAGATGGCAAAGTTTTGACACCTGAGGAAATCTTGTACAGGGTAAGTTGGTTCTTGTTTTCTGAGTTACCTTCCAGTTTTCCTAAAATTTAAAAGTTTTATATTATGCATTTCTGTTTGATATCACGTTCAAGTTATTATACATCTTTATTGCACAATATCATTACATATTGGTTGAAATGATTTCTCTCTCTCTCTCTCTCTCTCTCTCTCTCTCTCTCTCTCTCTCTCTCTCTCTCTCTCTCTCTCTCATGTCACATGTGATCAGGTTTAGATAACTTTCTGAATGATAATTCATAATTTCAGTGTGTGCAGTCTGTAAACTTTACCCATGATGCTGCACATGCTCAGATGGATGTCAAGTTCAGGTCTCTCATATGTCTTGGTCTCAAGTAAGTGTTAACAGTTAATGGGTGGTGCATGTGTGGGGGGCTGTGTGGGTATTGTTAATGGGAATATTTCTGATTATGGTACTTTTTGGGAAATATAGAAACTTCCTTAAAAAATCCAACTATGCCCAGAAAAATGTTCATCTGTGGGCCTTGGCCTCATGTATAAGTTTCGTTTCAGTGAAATGCTGTACACATGGCCAAATCGTTATTAAGTTGCTCTGAAGTGGTGCTATTGTATCAAATGTTACATTTCTCTGTCATAATGAATAACATTGTAAATTTGTAATTGCATTAACAGTTGACTGTAGATGGTGACAGAAAGCCCATTTTTATGTACAGACACAGATGTGTCTGTACATATTGCCATCACCTGCGTCTGTCGTCGCCGTCGTCGCCGATGCTGATGCCGATGCCGATGCCGATGGCGATGCCGTCGCCGTGCTCTTTCACTGTAAACACGATAAGTGGAACACAGTTTTATTTTTTGGTTTTATATTTACAGAGCTGATGAATATTCATAAAATGCAGGTCAAGTTCGAAAAGCAGCATGATCGGGCCATTATTGTAGAAGTTATGCTGTTNATATTTAAATTCTCTCTCTCTCTCCCTCTCTCTCTCTCTCTGTATAACCATGTTATCTTTTGATAAGAAAATTTGTCTACAAAATAGTGTAAACATACTTATGCAAGTAAAAAAATATTTGTTTATAAATTTTTGTCTTAAGTGTCTACTGTTTTCTTTAATAGAAAATTTGCAGATAGCTTTCCACATATTGCTATTCCTCTCTTGTAAAAAAACACTAAATTTTTTACATACAAGATATCAGTTTGATCACACTTTCCATCTTGATTTCTGGTTTGGCAATTCATGATGTGCATGAACAATCACATATAAGCAGTCTTGGAAAAGAATTATACAGGTAGCTCACCTGTGTCTTACCATGTTTGTACAGCTTAGTGTATGAACTTCCATATTCATAGCTTCACCTGGCATCTATATCCACAGTATTTTCAAGTATGTAAAATAAGCAAACAGAATTGCTATTCCAAAATTATGAAGGCACAACTTAAATCATTTCAGCAACTGAACAAACGTCATCTGAAGCGATCAAAGTCCTTGATCTCTTCTCTCCTCTGGGGAGAGGAGGATGAGGATGGTTTTGATGGGAAAGCCAAGAATATCAAGCAGACAGAGTTGTTGGTGGACATGAGGGAGGCCATTTTGCAAGTAGCCAGGCATTTCCAGTCCATAGACCCAAAGAACAGTAAAGTGGTAAGAAAGGAGCCAGTGAATAAAGATAAATGAACAGTCTTTTGTGACCACTGAAAGATGTATACGGAATGTGCATGAAATTCTGATAGCTTTGTTAACTCATTAATATTGGAGAAATGAAAGTAAATAGAACAAAAAAAACATTTTTTTTCTTGGTCAATATTTTGTAAATGGATATGCATGATTGTATGTGCTTAACTGTATCAAAATAATTGATATTTTCTTTTAGAAAGTCACCCCTCTACTTTGGCTTTATCATCAGTTGCAGTGCATGTGAAGAACCCACCAGTTATGTGATAAATTAGTTTGTGAATGCAGCTGTCCACCCCCCCTTCCCACCCCTGCACATCACAAACATGTACTTGTTAATTGGGCACCTTTTGCCAATGAAAAGGTGCCTTATTCTTCTCTCCAGAAGCTTCAGGCTGACTACTCCATGGAAAGCCATGCCAAGGACATGGACAATTACTTGAATGTGGCCAGAACTCGTCGGCGGAGGGCCAAGGCACTGCTAGACTTCGAGCGTCATGATGACGATGAACTGGGGTTCAGGAAAAATGACGTTATTACTGTGAGTTTATTAAGGATTGATAACAAATCAGAGACTGTCTTAATAATCAAATTATTAATAATGTGATGCTGTTTGGATTGATCTTTTTAGGTTCATTTAATGTTTGTTTCAGTACTTTGATGTTTTTAAAGTTTTGAATCACAGCCCTTTAGAAATACTTGATTGTGACAGTTCAGTTGCTTTTGTATGAAAGTAAAAAAATATTTCTTGAAGTCACTGCTAAACATCTTTTTATTCTGTGTAATTTTCTACTCGAGTTTCTAAGATATTGGGCCTTACAAAAACTTTCAGGCAAACAAGAATACTTCAAGATAACTTGCATCGTATTTGAAGAAATGCTAGTTCAGTGGCTATTGCTTGAAAGTAATAAGTATTTCTTGAAGTCACCATTAAACACAAATTCTGTGTAATTTCCTACTTGATGTTACAGATAATCTCTCAGAAGGATGAGCACTGCTGGGTGGGAGAGTTGAATGGTTTGCGTGGCTGGTTTCCTGCAAAGTTTGTGGAGATGCTGGATGAGAGGAGCAAGGACTACTCCAGTGCTGGGGATGATTCTGTCACAGAAACCATTACTGATCTGGTCAGAGGAGTGTAAGTATAGACGTTATAGGTAGCATATTTCAGTCTGATAGGAGTGCAGTAATAAGTGTGCACTTTTTTTTTTGTTTATTTTTGGGGGGGGGGGGGAAGGGAAGGGGGTAGAGTTTCGTTGATGATTATGAAGTTTTTGTTGGAATAAAAAACTTATGTGGTGTAATGAGAATGCCTCCCTATGTGACACATTATATATATATATATATATATATTTAATAATGTGTTCAAAAAGTGCATATTGTGATAAATTAATCTGGTGAATTTAGAATGATTTCTGTACAAATAAATATCAAGTATGATTCATTACTTAACCATCTGTCATAAAATCTTCACACTCGTGTGTTTGACATGCTGAAGTTTGATTATGTGTCTTGGCGTGACCCTTTTCTGCAGGATGTCTGGTCACTTTAATTTCACCATAAATAGCAGTGGGATTCTTCTGTTTTCTTTCTGGACATGTCACTCTACTTACTCTGAAAGATGAAGAGATGATGTTTGTTGCCTATTATGAGATTAGTTTAAGCAGACAGCACTCAGTTTTACCAAGGAGGGACAACCCAAATTCTATTCAAATGTGCCATCTGATTGTACCATTTCCTTTACAGCCTGTGTCCAGCCTTGAAGGCTATATTTGAACATGGCCTCAAAAAACCACACCTTCTCGGTGGGACAGTTCACCCTTGGTTATTTATAGAGGAGGTAAGTTTTTTACTGATTAAATCAGCTTTATAACCGTTAAATAAGTTAACTCACGTAATATAATCCCCACTGAATATTAAACACAAAAGCCCTGAAGAATACCACAGTGTATTTGTAAAGATCTCTTTTATTGCCTTTAGAATCATTTATTTTGTGCTTCATTTTTACCCAAGGTTTTAAATTCTTCACTTGCTTGGGTTTTCATTGAACTAGCTCAACAGGTAATTATAAGCTCTCTCTCTATATTCAGGCAGCTACCAAAGAAGTTGAGAAAGACTTTAATTCTGTGTATTCAAGACTTGTGCTGTGTAAAACATACAGGTAAAATGTACACAATTGCAGTATGAACACAGCAAGACACTTCAGTTTGGTTTTTTATATATATATATATTTTTTTTTTAATGGCATTACCTTCTTTTCTTCTCTTATTGTAAAAATTAATTGAACTATTTAAGTTGACTGTTTGTTCTGCTACTACAGAAAAAAATATAAATTGATCATGATTTTAATCAAATCATTTGATTGCAATTTTTATCATACCATTCATCTTCTAGACTTGATGAAGATGGCAAAGTTTTGACACCTGAGGAAATCTTGTACAGGGTAAGTTGGTTCTTGTTTTCTGAGTTACCTTCCAATTTTCTTTAAATTGAAAAGTTTTATATTATGCATTTCTGTTTGATATCACTTTCAAGTTATTATATATCTATATTGCACAATATCATAAGACATTGGTCTCTATATATGTAATATCACATGTGATCAGATATAGATAACTTTCTGAATGGTAATTCATAATTTCAGTGTGTGCAGTCTGTGAACTTTACCCATGATGCTGCACATGCTCAGATGGATGTCAAGTTCAGGTCTCTCATTTGTCTTGGTCTCAAGTAAGTGTTAATGGGTGGTGCATGTGTGGGGTATGCATGGGTATTGTTACAGGGGATGTTTTGATTATGATACTTTTTGGGAAATACAGAAACTGCCTTGAAAAATCCCAACTGTGCCCAGAAAAATGTTCATCTGAGGGACTTGGTCTCATGTGTAGGATTCCTTTCAGTGAAATGCTGTACACATGGCCTTATAGTTATTAAGTTGCCCTGAAGTGGTGCTACTGTATCAAATGTTACATTTCTCTGGCATAATGAATAACATTGTAAATTTGTAATTGCATTAACAGTTGACTGTAGATGGTGACAGAAAGCCCATTTTCTTGTTTAGTTATAATTTGTTTTTATTTTATTTATTTTTCAGTTTATTGTGAAAATGTGAACATTTGGCATACAGTTAAACTATGCAGTAGAAGCATTTAACATTAAATCCTTTTGCTACTTTAAGTATTAAAAAAAGGGTTTTTTTTTTCCTATAAAGGCAGCAGACTAAATTTGCAACAAATTTCATTTGTTACCACTTGGCACAGTTTAAAGTTTGTCATTTCCAGTGAACAAGTGTTGCACCTGTGGTTGGAGACCCTGTGTTCCTGTATGGAGGTGATAGAGAAGTGGTACCAGCCCTGGTCCTTTATGAAAAGTCCTGGCTGGGTACAGATCAAGTGTGAACTAAGGTAGGTACACTGGTAGTAAACATTACTGTGCACTTGTATCAGTAAAATACACTGTTATCCGTGTGACTGGCTCCTGATTGTGTTCATATCCAGACTTACTTAGACCAGAAATAGTTATAACTGATAATTACTATTACTATTTATGGTCTTAAGTTAAACCAGTTTGAAACACAGCCATGGATTTGCTTGTAGTTTATATGTTACACATTTTATTTTTTTATAGAACTTATATCAGCTCTTCATATAACCTTAGCTTTACTTGGATGAAAACAGAGAGAAGAAAGTAATGTACAAAAAAAAAAAAAAATAATAAAAAAACTGTATTTTACAGTTTAACAGTCACCTGTCACAGCCAGTGGTTTCCTCTGTTTTTATTTCCTGTAATACTTTCTCTTGCTTACAAGAATATTTGAATTATTTTCTTCAGGATTCTTTCACAGTTTTCATTTAGATTAGCTGCTGACTCTGAGCTGTACACAAGGAGAAACTATTTTACAGAATTGAAGAATACAGTGTTAGACATGCTTTCAAAACATAGTCTCTTTAGTTGGGATTCTTAATTTTATGATATTAGGGTGACATTAGGGTGAAATATATGCAGTTTCCCCTAGATTTATTTAGAAAGTTATGTAATGTGCAATGTGTGTGATGCTGTTGAATTATGAAAACCTAGAAATTATGGATGAATTTATGTCTAGTATTCTTCAACAATTGTTAATACTCTTGGTTAGAGCTTGTATCACAGACCTAATCCCTTGTACTTTTGATCACCTTGACCATTTATGACATTAAAAAAGTAACAGGTCTTTCAGCTAACTCCCTGGCTTAATTGAATGCTGCCCTCACATTTTGATATCAAATAAAAAGCAATAATTATAACTATATTAGGCAATGAACATACAGAAATTCTACATCTTCACATCACTCTTTGCGAAAAAAAAAAAAAAATGTAGGTGAGTTTATACTCAATATGTGCCTCTGCTCTTTACAGGCTGCTCTGCCAGTTCTCATTCAGTCTATCAGATCAGTGGGAGATTCAGCCGAAAGCTACAGATACATTTTACAAAAGGGTTTTTAAGCCTGTCCAGGAGATGCTTTTACACCATCATCTTTTCAGCTGGGAACTGTGAATTTGTCTGAAAATATAGAAAAACATACAACTCGTCTTTTTTTGTTTTGTTTTGTTTTTTTTTTTTTTTATCCGTGATCTTTTTATAGCACATGGTTCTTGAAATCCTAGGTTGTGCCTTGTATTTTTCATATTTTCTGCCATTTCCTTGCTTTTTATGAAATTCAAAACAAAATGTCAGAACAACTGCAATAGCATTCCATTGTCAGGAATGTGTGTTTGAACTGATGTAAAGTTGTGCTTTAATGATGTTGCAATATTTAGGCCACCATTTTTAATTGCCCGTTTTATGGGTAGAACTTTTTTTGAGATTGCAATGTTTGTAGTAGAAATAAAAAAGTGACATGTAGAGCAAAAAAAAAAAAAAGACACTGATATTGGGATTATTTCAGCTCTGTTGGATTTTCAGGGTTCTTTTCATGAAAGTTTTCAGGCTGGTAAAACAAGAGATTAAAAAAGGTTGATCTTAGTCAAAATATTTACATCTATTATTATTTTGATAATATATATTGGTATATTTTTGTTATCTTGTATGTTATTCAAGATTCATGGGAAGATTTTCTCATTTATATTTATATTCAGTTACACAAAATGTTGACTTTGTGTCCTTGTGCTATGTTGAAGAAAATAGAATATAAACAGAAATACAAGTGACTAGACAATTATCTAACATGTAGCAACACTAGTTAATTTTAGTAACATGCATAACTAAATTTGGTGCATCTGATTTGAAGATGGTGCTGTGGATACACTGTTTGCTTTTTTTCTGGGGAGCTTTTTATTTAACTTTCAGAGTTATATGGAAAATTCATGCTGAACAGTTATACCTGCTTTCTTTGTAAAATCAGAGTAGCAGTGACATGAAGACACCCNGTGGTCATTCCTGCTATTTTATTTATTTTTCAGTTTATTGTGAAAATGTGAACATTTGGCATACAATTAAACTATGCAGTAAAAGCATTTAACATTAAATCCTTTTGCCACTTAAGTATTAAAAAAAGGGTTTTTTTCCTATAAAGGCAGCAGACTAAATTTGCAACAGATTTTATTTGTTACCACCATAGTTTAAAGTTTGTCATTTCCAGTGAACAAGTGTTGCACCTGTGGCTGGAGACCCTGTGTTCCTGTATGGAGGTGATAGAGAAGTGGTACCAGCCCTGGTCCTTTATGAAAAGTCCTGGCTGGGTACAGATCAAGTGTGAACTAAGGTAGGTACACTGATAGTAAACATTACTGTGCACTTGTATCAGTAAAATACACTGTTATCCGTGTGACTGGCTCCTGGTTGTGTTCATATCCAGACTTACTTAGACCAGAAATAGTTATAACTGATAATTACTATCACTATTACTATTTATGGTCTTAAGTTACACCAGTTTGAAACACAGCCCTGGATTTGCTTGTAGTTTATATATTACACATTTTATTTTTTTATAGAACTTATATCAGCTCTTCATATAACCTTGGCTTTACTTGGATGAAAACAGAGAGAAGAAAGTAATGTACAAAAAAAAAAAACAACTGTATTTTACAGTTTAACAGTCACCTGTCACAGCCAGTGGTTTCCTCTGTTTTTATTTCCTGTAATACTTTCTCTTGCTTACAAGAATATTTGAATTATTTTCTTCAGGATTCTTTCACAGTTTTCCTTTAGATTAGCTGCTGACTCTGAGCTGTACACAAGGAGAAACTATTTTACAGAATTGAAGAATACAGTGTTAGACATGCTTTCAAAACATAGTCTCTTTAGTTGGGATTCTTAATTTTAAGATATTAGGGTGACATTAGGGTGAAATATATGCAGTTTCCCCTGGATTTATTTAGAAAGTTATGTAATGTGCAATGTGTGTGATGCTGTTGAATTATGAAAACCTAGAAATTATGGATGAATTTATGTCTAGTATTCTTCAACAATTGTTAATACTCTTGGTTAGGGCTTGTATCACAGACCTAATCCCTTGTACTTTTGATCACCTTGACCATTTATGACATTAAAAAAGTAACAGGTCTTTCAGCTAACTCCCTGGCTTAATTGAATGCTGCCCTCACATTTTGATATCAAATAAAAAGCAATAATTATAACTTTATTGGGCAATGAACATGCGGAAATACTACATCTTCACATCACTCTTTGCGAAAAAAAAACAAAAAACATAGGTGAGTTTATACTCAATATGTGCCTCTGCTCTTTACAGGCTGCTCTGCCAGTTCTCATTCAATCTATCAGATCAGTGGGAGATTCAGCCGAAAGCTACAGATACATTTTACAAAAGGGTTTTTAAGCCTGTCCAGGAGATGCTTTTACACCATCATCTTTTCAGCTGGGAACTGTGAATTTGTCTGAAAATATAGAAAAGCATACAACTCATCCTTTTTTGTTTTGTTTTGTTTTTTATCTGTGATCTTTTTATAGCACATGGTTCTTGAAATACTAGGTTGTGCCTTGTATTTTTCATATTTTCTGCCATTTCCTTGCTTTTTATGAAATTCAAAACAAAATGTCAGAACAACTGCAATAGCATTCCATTGTCAGGAATGTGTGTTTGAACTGATGTAAAGTTGTGCTTTAATGATGTTGCAATATTTAGGCCACCATTTTTTATTGCCCGTTTTATGGGTAGAACTTTTTTTGAGATTGCAGTGTTTGTAGTAGAAATAAAAAAGTGACATGTAGAGCAAAAAAAAAAGACTGAAATTGGTATTATTTCAGCTCTGTTGGATTTTCAGGGTTCTTTTCATGAAAGTTTTCAGGCTGGTAAAACAAGAGATTAAAAAAGTTTGATCTTAGTCAAAATATTTACATCTATTATTATTTTGATAATATATATTGGTATATTTTTGTTATCTTGTATGTAATTCAAGATTCATGGGAAGATTTTCTCATTTATATTTATATTCAGTTACACAAAATGTTGACTTTGTATCCTTGTGCTATGTTGAAGAAAATAGAATATAAACAGAAATACTAGTGACTAGACAATTATCTAACATGTAGCACCACTAGTTAATTTTAGTAACATGCATAACTAAATTTGGTGCATCTGATTTGAAGATGGTGCTGTGGATACACTGTTTGCTTTTTTTCTGGGGAGCTTTTTATTTAACTTTCAGAGTTATATGGAAAAGTCATGCTGAACAGTTATACCTGCTTTCTTTGTAAAATCAGAGTAGCAGTGACATGAAGACCCCCTCCCTCCTTCTTATTTGGGACAAATGAGAGAGAGATTGCAAACTAATATTCTTGTGTGTTCCTTGCACTACAATCATTTAAATATCTTTCTTTCAGGATTCTTTCTCAGTTTTCCTTTCACTTGTCAAAAGACTGGGAATTACCTGTAAAGAAAGACAAAACCACACAACCACTAAAGGATGGGGTTAGGGACATGCTGGTGAAGCATCACCTCTTTAGCTGGGATATATGACCTCTAGCTAACCTTCAACAACCTTGACCTTGGACTAATCTTCAGTAAGCTTGACTTTCCCTGCATGCAGAGAAGACTAATTGCTTGGTGTGGCACATCTTTTCATCTGCTTCATCAATAGAAAATGCATGCTTAGGCAATAGGAGCTAACAGGATAACATCACATTGGTTTTAGGCAAAATTTTTTACTAACAACATTAACTTAGCATTATAATTGTCTGGTACATGTAGAAGTGAATTAACAAACAGACTTAGCAAAATCTGCTCTATAATTTATTTACATTGACTTGTAGGTTTGTGGAGTACAGGGGAATTAAATAATACGAAAGAATGTAAATTCTCACTTGGAAAAGTGTTGTGTAAAATTGTAACCTATATATGATTACATGTAGTATTGTTATTGTTAGACTCTGAAATAATTGAACTGGTTTTCTTATCCAGTACAATGTATATGATACATATGACCATTACTAGTGAGGTATGTAAATGAGGCACTTGCCTTTTGTCCAACTGACAAAAAAAAAAGGCTGGTCTCAGGGGAGTAGGACCAATCTTTTAGGTATAGTTTGGTTTGTCACTTTGTTACATTGTTAACCTAAGTGTATATTTAGATATTTAAAATTGGAAAGCAAATTTACAAACTAGAAAACTAGAAGAGAAAGAGCAGGATTGTGCTGTTATGCTATATACGGCAAAGACTGGGATCAATTAGATGCTAAATTGTGATTCTGTTAAAATTTAGCACTATCATCCTTTGGTTTCTTTATTTATTTATTATAAAAAAGGGCATTAGAAAAATCTTGTAACCTTGGATTACTGTGTCTGTTGTTTGGCAGGTTCCAGCGCAGTCTCCTGTACAGTATTCAGATGTTGCATCCATATTTGTTTAAAAGAAAATAATCATTTACTAAAAATGATATCTTTAAAGATAGGTTCTAGAAAAATGTTACCTATTTTATGCTTACAATTTTAAATATTCATGTGCTCATGTAGTTCTTTGTTTCCTTACATAAACAATGTACGATCTTTGGTGTGGTCATATACTTGAAAGTTATGTTACAACAAATGTTAACTTTGTCACAGCTTGGTGCATTCCCATCACATTAAAATCAGATTTTATCATATTTTGAATACTTGTTGCTACTTTATGTCTCAGGTTAAAACTTTTCTCTACACACCTGTTTCAGGTACATGTATGAAAGACAGCTGTATGTTTATTAGATACTTAAAAATATCGTTCTAAGAATTTAAAGAATATGACTTGTAACATTATATCAATACTTATATATTTTATGGTACCTTTCAGAAGTCCCAATTTTANATTCCAGCTTGGTCGAGGACAAAGCATAACTGCACAGTTGTTAATATTAATATTTAGTTATGACTCAACTGTTGTGTTTTACAGCTCATTGATATAATGGCATTATTTTCAAAGAAGCCCTCATTGAAAATGTGTTATTTAGGTGAACTTACTGCAATTTGTAATAGTGCAATAAATTTGGATTTGTTGTGTATGAATCAAATGTGCATAAATGACAATTCCAAGAATTAAGAATTAAAATGTGTACTTGAGAGCTTTGTCTTTTTTATCACTGAGAAAAAAAAAATTCAGGGCCTTAGGCTGTTGGGGGGGGGGGGGGGGGCTTGAGTTGAAAAAATATAAATATTACAGGAGGGGGTGTTAGTGAAGTCGTAGCATTTTCCTTTCTCAGTACATCAGAAATATTTTACTTTACCTTCACTTAGAAAAACCAAAGGCGGTACAAATAACCAGCTTACGTGTATTGTGGGCCTCCAACAGCTGTCTGACACCATTTTTCTTCCCATACGGTCCTGGTGGTAAAAATAATTATTTTTGACAAAATGTATTGCTACTTTACCAAATTTGATTTAATCTTTGACTTGAGTCTATTGCAAATCATAATTTATATTTTCTTAAGAACGTGTTCACGGGCGAAGAAACAAGTTGTAGGTATGATTTCCTCGATAAGAAATTTGATAAATTCTGTCAGTACACTGCAAATATATATATTTTTCATCCTTGATATTTAGCGTACATACAAATCATGTGTTCTAGCACTGATGACGCATTTCTTTTAGTGTGAGTGAATGTTCTGTTCTGTTCTTTATTTTTGATGTCTTATATCAGTAAAAAAAAGTATGTAACCGAGTTTACAGCATTTACATCAATTAATGATCTTAGTGGGGTTGCAAAGGCGTTCCAACTTAAAATCTTAGACCTAAAACGTGTTAAATTAAAGACATATAGCTAGCTCTGCAGGAGACTTGCTACTTAACATTGAAACAGGTTTTTTTAACAGCAAGATTGAAGAAATAATTCGTCATCCATGTAAAAGTGACGTTAAAAGGGAAGCACGGAACAAAGGTACATAATACGTAAAAGTAAGTATCTTTAAAATTTTAATCGTGTTTCGTTGGAAAATGTGAATAGGTATGATAATTGTTTTTCGACATTCCTATTTACTGTGTAGATTTTGTCTATTCAGTTTTGAATAATTCAAAATAATTTTTGTTTAAATCATAAATGAGTTCTGCTGAAAAGGTCGTCAGAAAAGCCTTTAGTGTCAAGTGGGAGGTAAGAACAGAACGATGTAACACGTGTGATGCCATTACGTGACACGTTGATAAAATCTTTGGATAGATAATCATTCTAAAAGTAAGCACAAAATACGACAAAAAATTAAGCTTTATCTGCCAGCATAAAAATTAAAAGACCAAATGAAATGAAATGAAATAAAAAAAAGAATCCGTGGAAATCTAGCATCGTAATACAATGGGGTGTCAGTAATTCAATTTGAAGGAGCACATGAAGCTGCCTTATTTGAGAAAGTTTTCACATTCAGACGTAAAAGCGACTGTGCATGACTCTGTGTGCAACCTACTGTCCTACGAAGTTAATAAAGTTGCCGCGGTCGAAATGTCCTCAGTTTTGCCCCACCCACGCTCTCCAGGAGCTGAGCCCCGACTCCGCCACAAGTCATGTCGTCATCATCTAGCCTCCGTCCACTCCTTTCCGTCCATTACCTTTCTATACATTTTAGGCACGCTTTGCACAATGCAAAATCAATTGTGCTTTCGTGTGTTCATGTTTGCGTTTGTGAATAGGTCTAATGCATCTATTCTTATGATCACGTGGGCAGTACACCTGCATATTTGCAGCGACACATATATAATTCCATAGGACTGCCACTGCTCAAGGTAAGCGATGTACAAAATTTCCAGGTTTAAACGAGAAATATTCTTTTTAATAACCAATTCTAAGTTGAAGTATTTTTGGCTGCAGGGTAAATCTTCCAGGTGAACTTGCATTTGAAAAAAGGCGTTTGTAAGACAATACTAGCGGGCCAGTAGCTCTACTAAATTAAGGTTGGCTTCACACCGAGTGACCTACAGGTAAACTTATGGCGATAGGCCTACTGTTGAAGACTTGATCGAGATCAATGTCTCTATTCAGCAAGTACACATTGATTGAAAAGCGTATTTCCTAATTTGCATCAATACTACAATGTCTCATATTAATTAATTTTTGGAGGTAAAACACAGCGCCTGTCATATTAAAACAATAACGAAAAATCCATCTCTATCCGCACTTCCGTCTGGCAAATCGATAACACCATATCTGCACGCATAGCCAACGTGCGTGCTGGAGCATGGCGTCACGCGAAGTAAACAGCTTGCTGTCGGATCAGGCGTCACCCTTAACGAACTTTTGCTGAAAAATTGTGGGGCCAACCCCCTTCGGCTTTTGAAATAGTGGAGGTTTTACCAAGAAGTTATAACAGTTATAAGTATTAAATCTTTGGTTTTACTAAGCATGATATCCTTTAATTGGCACTGTGCAACAAAACATTATATGGCAGAGATGCCAAGGAATGTACAAAGTACTAATAATAATATTAATAAAAATAATAACATTAAGTTTATTTTGAACAAAATACCAGTATACTGAAGAGTAACTCTTTACAGCTGTAGGCCTAAATTCGTGGTAATTCGAGGTATAAATTGTATTTCAGGTATACTCCTTGGATACTTTAGTAATGGCTCGCATGTGTTTGTTGTCGGCTCTGGTCATTTCAGCCTGCATGATCTTAGTTAAAGGTAAGTACATTTTGTACTTGCACTTACCCGAATACATTAAAAAGACAATCGGAAGACCGGGCTCCACATTTCAAGTAGATTACTGAGAGGCTAATTAGGCTGTTCGCAAAACTACACATGAAATTTGACCCTTCGAGTCGTAAAATGGGTGGAATGTTTCAGTACAGAGAAGAGAAATAATAGTGGAAATTTTATCAAATTTACTGCTAGGAGTATAATAAATTTTGTGTTGAAATACAACATCAATTGCAACTCAGCTAGTGTGAGCTGACGCGATGTCGTAGTGGAGCAGAAATCCACAACGGGTATAGTTCGGGGGCACGGCTTTGCCACAAAAGTGTTGCACATAACCAAACTATTGCAGTGTGAAATATGATCCCACGTGGAATCGGTTGCTATGACATTGGTGTATATCAGGCGTGGTGCATTGTGTTATCTGACGGGGGTAAATGTGTGAGGCTCAAAACTTTTTGACATCCTCTCGTACTTCAGAGTTTGATAAGTAAGCGTTTGCACCTGAACGTTCAAAGTCCTGAAATCGATCATCTGCTTTTTTTTAATACAGGAGAGTTAATTGGAGATACTGCAAAAAAGAGATACAACACCAATCCAGGGACGGGGAATGGGAAGGCTTACGTGGCAACGAAGCATCCACTCAAAGAAGGACAGTTGCAAAAATTTGAAGTTTACATTCATAAAGCAACTACTAGAACTGTCTCCGCTAGACTGTTCATATGGTCTCGAGTAGGAACCAGCAATGAGTTTGTCTTAGACTATTCTATCCCCGCCGAACTGCCGAAAGAAGAAGGGTTGTTCCCTGTGGTAAGAGTTGTCAAGCGCGTGCCATCTTCATTTTATTATGCGGTCCAATAATTGTAGAATTTCGATTTTTTATTTCTTTTTTTTTTACATTCATCATCATTCAACATCTTAATTTTGGCATGGGATAGGCTAAGAAAATACGGATAGATCACGCTCCGCGCATTAATTTGATGTTTAAAAAATTGCCTTCAGTTTCCTTCTTCTGCTCTTTAATGATAGAATCGTCTGCTAAAAGACTAATATGGTATGATCTTTAACCGACGTTTGCAGTTCTTCAGTTCTCTCTTACTACATAGGCCTACATCATATAAGAATATAAATATAACAGCTTTTTTGTTTATCTCATGTTCATCAAACCACTCGCAGATTGTGCCCGACCCTAAACCATGGGTCAAGGAAGGGTCATTTATGGGCTGGGCGTATCAAAGCCCTGGGGATGTGATCAGCTTCGATTACAATACCCAATTCAACACAGAATTCAGCTTCACCCTCCAAGCAGGCGATCCCTTCCCCTGGCCAATTCTCGAAGAGACTTACACGTTTGATGCTACACCACTTAGATTTGAGCACGCTATTGCAGTGGATATAACTGTTGGTAAGTGTTCACATAGTAAGCTAACGCCCCTCCACTACAAACACGTTGATAATAGAAAATCATGAAGAAAATGAAGCAAGGTTTCGAAAAAATATTGCAACCTGCGATTGATAATATAGGCCTATAGCTGAGCGAATTACTCTCTTTTAGGAACCAAACCAACGACCACAATTACTACTACCACCACTGCACAAACAACTACTACCACAACTGCTGCTGCTCCTGTTGCTAGTGATACAGATACGAGAAAAGGTATGACGTTTTTTAGTCTTTTTATAGAGCTATACAATCAGCTCGTCATGTGCCCCGCCCCCCCTCTTCATCTGTCCCCTGGCCGACAGGAATCAATCGGCAAGAATTCTTATAAAATAATAATGGTTGAGACTTTTGACCTTCACTGTGCTTTTTCTTTTGGGGCTTTAAATTATAAATCCTTTTCTTCCTGAGCCTCTCTGCATCAGTTGCATCCATTTGCACGCCCCAGTTAGTCGTCAGGTCCCAGGGAAGAAATAAAATGCGTCAGCTGTGCTTGTTGCTGTCACCTTGAGTTGACCTTGCTTATCAATAGGCCTGATATTGGACTTGCCCAGAATGGGTTAGCAAGGATTTAAAACTGCGAAATGATTTCTCCTCAGTGACGTTATTTTTTCCTCTAAAATAAGTAAATAGTCCGTTATGCATTGAAATAAAGTTATCTAACTAGTAAAACTGGTGTAAAAGGACTATTAATGACTTTGTGGTAAGTAGCATAGAGAGCTATGACCCCTTACTTGTGCAAATTTTGACACGGCTTTCATCAAAATTACCCGGATGTGCGAACCTAAAGATGGCTTCAGTAGCAGTAACACTCTTTGCATCCGTTGCTCTGTTGCTTATATTTGTGCCTGAGGGTAAGTACAACTGTTCTTGTCATTGCTAACGGTAAATCATCTACATATTTAAAAAATCCGCTTCAAAATAACGCTCTGGCGTTATAAAATGGCAGTTGGCCGTATAACTTATGATGTTGCGAGTCGGCAACGATTTCGCAATCGCCGAACACGAGCAGACTACTAACAACGTCACTATGCCGCGCTACAAGGGTTTCGAAACTACTGTAGAAAATGCAAAACCCTAGTAGTCATTTGAGCGGTATTTACAATATCATAACTAATGTGTGAAAATAAAAGCGTGCATGATCCTTATGGCCATTCATGGGTTTCTGAAGTTTCTTCAGGGAAAGGTGGAAGTTGGAGGGGGGGGCGTTTTAAATTGTGGACCAAGATGTAAGAAAGAGGGATGTGACCATTTTAAAACCATTATGGAGTTTGATAGTGTTTGGTACATGCAAAGATGATCCTATTGCTTTGCTTATGCCAATCGACATTGACACATTGACAATTATCACCAAATTGAACAAAAACACAATGCTTGACACATATTAGAACTATTTTAAGTATTCTTATGTTGCCTATTTGACGGATTCACCATAATTTGAAAGATTGCATGATTGATTTATTTAAATTGGCCATATACACATTATTAACCTTACATTTAAAGTGAGCGTAGATTCACAGTAAAGCATACACCGCTTCTACCGTTTTCTTCTTTAACTAAAATAAAGTTGATATGCTTAGGGATAAACCAAATAAAACACTAGATGAGCCATAAAAAAGCATAAATGTTGCACCTTCTTCAAAATTTTTGGTCGTAAATTCACTTATTTCTCTGTCCCTACAGTTTGTCCTCTAAAGTCTTAATGACGTAGTACTGCACGTACATTCTATAATCATCACTCTCACTCCCATGTATGGATGCAGCTGTGCGCTGGCATTTGGTTGGGTTTTTTGGCAAAAAAAAAAAAAAAAAGAGAGAAATGGGGAAGGAGGGGACCACTCTGCATGACAGTATAGTAGCAAGTATTTTTTTTAAATAGACATAATTGATTAACTTTGCCAAGAGGAAAGATGTAAGTATTGTAAGATTATACCAATTTTTGGTTTTAGGTTACGGCATCCAGTGTTATGTCTGTAACTCTCATGATAGATATGAGGGGAAGGTATGTGATGATCCATTTGATGAAAATGACATTGCTGCTCAAAGACTTCTAACAAACTGCAGTGAAAACCACAACACCTGCATGAAAATGGAGCAAGAAGGTCAGTATTAAGTATATGTAGCTACTTTTCAGTACTGATAATGTAAAGGATGTGGCAAGCAAAATAATGTTAAATATAGACCAAACTTTTCTTTACTGAGGTTAAGCCATACTGTTTTACACCTATGATGGCAGGATTCGTGGAATTCATATTCTGGTACACACCCAAATGCCAGGATAAATCACTTTTAACTTTGCTGTTTTGAAACCTGAGATCTTGCAGTTGATAGCAGCAAGCTGGTTTCATTCTGCTCCATGATTTATATAGCAAGTCGCATTTTCTACTGGTTGATAGGTTGGTCTACAGTGATTGCTCACAGATTTCAGGCACTTAATTCCAATTAAAGTAAATAACTTATTTTTATAATGTGCAGATGCTCACAAACTTTCAAATATTTTACGAAAACGTTTTAGAAATACAATTTATCAGGTTTGAATTTTATGATTCTTGAATCCATTCCATAGATGAGGGTAAAACTGTAACATAGGGAATATTGTCTCTATGTGAAAAATGGTGTTTGGAATTTATTTTTATTTATTTTTTGTTATTATTTTTTAAAAATCTTTTTTTCTGCACTTTTGTAAATATGTGGCATTCACTGCTAAAGTAGCAGAATCTTTCATCATGCAAGGTCATCACAAAGGATTTTAAAATTATTATTTTTTTTTAGGGGGGGGGGGCAGCAATAATCTTGCCTTTTTCATTTCTAATCATACTCATAGATAATAGAAAATTTAAAAGAAAACATTCTGTTAAATATTTCATAAAACCAAAAAATTGGAATTGAATATTTGCTCAGATGGGAGTACTTTATGAGAGACATCAGACATAGAAGTTATATAGAGGACCCTTGCCCTATTTACTGCAATCTGGTTATCTTATGTCCAATTTGCAGGCTGTGGTGGCCCCAATAAAACATGTTACAGTTTTGTTGAAAAAATTTGATCTTGTTCCAATTGACTGTTTTTGTCTTTTTAGTCCAAGGTGAAAAACGTATTGTTCGCCAGTGCACAGAAGATGCTGTTATTGGAATGGTTGAACGCGCTGGAACAAAAGAGGTCAAGCTCTTTTACTATGGTTGCGATTCACAGAAGTGTAATGGTGCCACATCCATTTACAGCCACAGCATTCTGCTCTTTTCTATATTTGCCATTTTCTTGTCAGCCATCATCAAGTCCTAGCCACATTCAGATAAAGCCAACAATGGTCTTGGAAGTACCCGCATGAAATGTATGGCAGAATTTAAAACCTGGAGGAGGATTTTTTATGCAATACAAGATTGTTCTTTGTGAAGTTATGTCTTTAATCTACCATATCTTCTGTCCATTGCCTTTGGTGTATTGAATTTGTGCAGGACATTCAGTAGTATTAGGGAGAATGTCATAGTAAATTTGACCGTTTCATTTCTGTATGAAGGTAATATAGATTTCGTCTTAAAAGCATTTAGCATAGAGTGTAGAAAAAAATGTTAGCTGTTATTGCATTATTGTAAGTTTTAAGTGAAAACAGTTTATTGAGCATATTTCAACTTCATATTTCTTTAGTAAAACTATTAGCATTACATAAACAACATAATGCTATCAAATTTATTCAGAGTTCTATATTAAATTTCTGCTAGTTTGTATATGAATAATTTTGAGAAGGGGGAAAATGTTGTGAAAAGATGTGCTTTTTTTCCTTTCTTCTTAAGAATAATGGAAACTACTCTACCTATATCATTTTAGTCCCAGTAAATCCTGTTATTAAAGAACTTGTCTTAATCAGTTGATCGTTTTGTTTGGTTATATATATATATTTGTAATCACTAGTCACTATGCATTTTGTAGTTATTAGGAGAACATCGCATTTAATTGAAATACTCTGTCCATTTGAATTTCCCTTAACAGTTGCATTGATTATGACTTAAAAACCACCAGTTTAGGTGGCATATTATATTTGACTTGTTTACTTTCTTTTAGATGCACCCTAAATGTATATAAGTGATATTTTAGTATAACTTTTTGACTGCCACAATCCGTCAATAAGTTTTAAATAAACCACAATATAGAAATGGCAATACTGGTAACAAACAGGTTATGACTTGGTTATGATGTGTTCAAGAAATGTAGATGAAGTTGGAAGAAACTGCCATCTCACCACTTCCAACTTGATCATTAGTCTCAAGAACTTACTTGACTCTCCAGTTTTAAAGAAATAATACAAGGTTTCTCTTGTATTATAATAAAAGTAACTGAAGCTGTTGATATTGTGTCCCCAAAGGAGATTACTGTTTGTTAAAGTAGATCAGTTTGTGCCAACAGTTTTGTCTCACATTATCAAAAATAAATGTTTGATTTGTTTATAATGTTATGCTTTATTTCTCTTGTTTCTTAGAATTATTGTGTTATATATCGCAAGATTCGTCTTTGTAACTATCTCATAAAATATGTTCCTTAAGTGTGAAACTCTACACTTCTTTCTGACAGTTTTGACTTAAAGCTATGAGATAATTTTTTTTTAAATTACAATTCTCTTTCACTGGATACTATTAATGCCAGCCAGCTTAAACTGACAATGTCCAGGCAAGAACCAGTATCAGGCTCAGGATGAATATAGGTAAAACCACTTTAAAAGGAGATGTTTCTGTAAAAAACATCAAGTCACAGAAAAAAAGACTGCAACAATGAAAAGGACTGCTACAGTTAGGAACTGCAAGAACTACAATTGAAGTGGTTGAACTCCCAAGAACAAAGTATATGTTGAAAAAATGGAAAATTCTGATAATTTCTCTTTTAATAAATAATCCCTGCAAGTTACAAATACCATGGCTGTCTTTGTCTGAAATGTGCAGCAAGGGAGACAGCAGGTACCATCTATCAAGGATGGGGTTGAACCCGCGTCCTCCTGCTCCAGAGGTGGACGCTGACCACAAGGCCAATTGGTAATGCAGACAATTACAAAAGAATCAAAATGTCAGGAATATCAATCAACTCGATGCACTCCCTTCTTGGCAGTTCAACCCCCTTGACAAAAGTTGAAATTATCTGATCAATATCTGTTTTCAAACCAGACCTGTATGTAAGCATCACTGATTACTCAAAGCCTGGGGAAGATGGTAACACCATTTTCAGATATGACAGTAGTGTTCCAGTACAAGTAAATTCAGACATAAACCTCTGAACATTTATTGAATCTCGGACAAAACAAATCTCAGGAACCATATGACTTTTGTATTGAATTAAAAAACATCGAATTCTGCATTTCTGTGAAAAAAGCTTATGTCTGTAAATTCATGCAATAAAAATAAGGGGTGGGGCAGGATATGATTGAGAAAAACTGTAATAAGCCAAATGCTGGTTCTGACCCTTATTTCAAATGAACACACTATTCCAGGAAGCCCACCTTGCAAGATTGTGCATTCCACATCTTGGAATGATTCCAGCAGGTTGAATGGATACCGACTATTCTCAGTTATTGAGGTAAAAGAAAATAAGATGACCACACTGCTGACAATTCTTCATGCCATCAATGGCTTACAAGAATAAATAAATTTCTTATCCCTTAAAACTTTTGTAAAGTCTACTTTTTTTGTTTCTTGGCTTTTTTCAAAATTCTTTTCTGAGCACTCATAACATTATGGTATCCCTTACCATAAATTTTCTTTTTACTACTAAATGGTTTTCTATCTTTGTAAGCCTTGTTCCCAAGAAGTATATCAGCAACAACTTTCTTCTGTTTGTTTAAAAGGTGGTGCTTCTTTTTCTTTCCTTTTTGTTTCATTTTTGCTTGTTTGTCCTTCACATCCAGGTTTTTTCCTTGTATACTTTTGAAAAGGATGTTAGAGTTACTATGTCCTTGTGGGTTTTTTACAATTTTTCTTTTCTTTTCCTTGGAAACTCTGAGTACTTTCTCTTGTTTGACGCAGCAAGATATTCGAACCTCCCTTCCCTTCAATTGCTTGTTTTTCAACCTCAGTGCAAGAGAAACAGAGTCGGGACTCTGGAAAACAAAGAGTTAACTTGCTTGTGAGCAGTCATTAAAACATATACCTTCTGGCCTTTCTTTATTACAGATTAACTTTACAATAACAATGCACAACCATTAAGTATAATTATTATAAATATATATAGAGAATACATGTAACATCAATTACCTGTTATTTCTTAAATCAATCCAGCGAGTAAACATGAAATATATCACTAACCTTGAATAAAATGTATCCAAATCCTTTACCAATGCCAGTCTTTCCATCTCTAACAATACGCACATTTTCTATGATACCACAATCTTCAAACTCTTCCCACACTTCATCTTCATTTATGTCTTGGAAAAAATTAGTAAAATCAAATTTAAAAAATAATTTTTTATAAACATCTTTCTCCCACACTTTTTAAGTTGCAGATCTCTGTGCTATTAGTCAAGGAGGGTCATTTAAGAAATGGCATTTTATTTCTTAGACCCAACCAATTTTGTATTATAATACATCTAAATAGTGCCCTTGATTACACAGAAAACACCATGCCATATAAGACAAATTACAAAGATATGACGGACATGATTTCACATTTTACTACAGACTTGGAATACAAACCACGATTTTATGTAATACTTACCAAATGGCAGATTGCCAAGGAAAATTGATCTTCTGTTGTCATGCTATAAATCAATTGATAAAATACTTAAGAGTCTCTCAAAATGTAACATTACTTTGTTTTCTGCTCATTTTTATGATACTTGATGCCCATACTTCTAAGAATGCTCCTACCTCTGCTATTTTTTCCATATTTTTGAATGATGTTCCAAAATCAAATGACAATCTTTTCTGTATGTGTGTTCTCCAAATTCTATGAAATGTCAACCATGTAACCATGTATTAAGAGGACTTTGTGACTGCTTGAAAAGTTCTGATATGTACACTGAACTAAAATAAAAATCTACCAACGATTGCATAAATGCAATCACACTTACCACAATGTACAATAAAAAAACAAGATATGTATATTATTGTACCTCCTTTGCTGCAGAAGACAAATCGACTCTTATGTGGTTCCCTTCAACTTCTTCCCCATTACTGAAACAAATTGGATGGTGAAAATTAAAACCTAACCAACTGTCATCAACTATAAATTGACTGATATACAGATACTGATAATGCAAAGTTGACACCTTTTCTCTATTTAAACTAGAAAGTTTACCTAAAAGAAATTTTATAAATTACGAATTTTTCCTCACGTTTGGTCTTATAAAAGCAACAAATACATATAATATTGAATAATGAATCTCACCATTTGAGTGCATTCTGTGCTTGCTCACATTCCTCAAACACAATATATGCATTGATGTTCTTCTTGTTTGGATGGAAGTCTTTCCTGTAAAATGTAAAGTTATATGAAAAATGCTGGTAATGGATTTTATATGTACAGAACACTGCATAACTTGGGCACTTTTAGACCATAAATTTTGTTCAAGTTAATCAAAGACACCTACTACCCAGTGGATCCCCCTCCTCCTAAGATACCATGCTTTGTCAAGATATAATAATTATTCCAATACCATTCCTTTAAAATACATGGCAATTTTTTTTCTTATTTCATCTGACTATAAAGAAAATAATGGGTTGATAATTATCTATTAGAAAATTGCATGATAAGTATACTTACTTAATAACTGCCAGTTTCTTGGAAACCTTAGGGTCACTTGAAACCTAAAACAAAATAGAACAAGACCATAATAAACTTGGTCATAGCTAATGTGAAAATCTCTTGTTTCTAAAATCCAATGTCTTGCATCTTATTGATAAAGAAACAGTCATGCATATCATAATGTACACCTACAAACAGGTCTACTAATAATAAAAATATTATCTAATTACCTGATCACTTTGAGTAGCATACATTACTTACAGCATTTCTCAATCTGATGCTTTCTATATTTCCATATTTCTTGAACATTTTCTCCAATGCCTGTAATGAAGAAACACACAATGAAGTTTTCTTCATACAAACAATTAATAATTCTATCTGTATATCATTATATGAGCAAATGAAAAATAACTGGAAAGCAAAGGATTCATAGAATATAAATTCTTTCATTTTCATTTCAATGTGATGTGCAAGATAATATTTACCTTTTTCTTAATCTTGGCAGGTAAATTACCCACAAAGATGGTTTTTGAATCTTTTTGTTTGTCTGGCTTGTATTTATTCCTCTTCTTTACTGTCTGTGGCTCATCATCATCAAGTTTTCTCTTCTTTGATTTACTGCGAAATTTTAAGTATAAATAAATAAATAAATTCCCCTTAACAGGTTTAAGTCACTGAATATGCCACACAATATCCAGCTTTGTATAAAAAGAAGAAATCAACTAAACATTTCATACCATTAAAATATTTTAGTCTATCACAATAACAAGTGTTCTAATGAATTATGACAGTGCCATCATAGCAAGTGACACAGCAATATATCTGGACAGGATTCACATGTACATTCATAAGTAAAACATTTAATTATTTCCTATTTACCTAGATTTTGTAGAATCCCTTCCACCATGCAAACTCACATGTAGGGGGTTATCATGAACTTTCCTTGTCACATTGGCTGTCTCTTGTACTGTCTCGGCCTCTTTTATTTTATCTGTGACAGATTTTACATCTCTGTTGGGCTATCAAAAAAAAAAAAAAAAAAAAAAGAAAATCTCACATGCATGAGAATTTACATAATTCATGTAACATACATGTTAATGTTGTATTATATGAAAGATATGTTTTAACTAGAGGATCAGAGAGGCGATACCGCCTCCGAATATTGTACCACCAGCTGGAGCAAGCGCATTTGTATAGACCCCCACATACNGAAGTTTTATAAATTACGAATTCTTCCTCACGTTTGGTCTTATAAAAGCAACAAATACATATAATATTGAATAATGAATCTCACCATTTGAGTGCATTCTGTGCTTGCTCACATTCCTCAAACACAATATATGCATTGATGTTCTTCTTGTTTGGATGGAAGTCTTTCCTGTAAAATGTAAAGTTATATGAAAAATGCTGGTAATGGATTTTATATGTACAGAACACTGCATAACTTGGACACTTTTAGACCATAAATTTTGTTCAAGTTAATCAAAGACACCTACTACCCAGTGGATCCCCCTCCTCCTAAGATACCATGCTTTGTCAAGATATAATAATTATTCCAATACCATTCCTTTAAAATACATGGCCATTTTTTTTCTTATTTCATCTGACCATAAAGAAAATGATGGGTGGATAATTATCTATTAGAAAATTGCATGATAAGTATACTTACTTAATAACTGCCAGTTTCTTGGAAACCTTAGGGTCACTTGAAACCTTAAATAAAATAGAACAAGACCATAATAAACTTGGTCATAGCTAATGTGAAAATCTCTTGTTTCTAAAATCCAATGTCTTGCATCTTATTGATAAAGAAACAGTCATGCATATCATAATGTACACCTACAAACAGGTCTACTAATAATAAAAATATTATCTAATTACCTGATCATTTTGAGTAGCATAAATAACTTACAGCATTTCTCAATCTAATGCTTTCTATATTTCCATATTTCCTGAACATTTTCTCCAATGCCTGTAAAGAAGAAACAAACAATGAAGTTTTCTTCTTACTAACAATTAATAATTCTATCTGTAACCATTATAAGAGCGAATGAAAAATAACTTGAAAGCAAAGGACTCACTGAACATCAATTCCTTCATTTTCATTTCAATGTGATGTTCAAGATTACATTTACCTTCTTCTTAATCCTGGCAGGCAAATTGCCAACAAAGATGGTTTTTGATTCTTTTTGTTTGTCTGGCTTGTATTTCTTCCTCTTCTTGACAGTCTGTGGCTCATCATCTTCAAGTTTTCTCTTCTTTGATTTACTGTGAAATTTTAAGGATATAAAAATAAACAAATAAATTAATTAACCCCGTTTAGAAGGTCTAACTCGCTGAATGTATCACACAATCCAGCTTTGTAAATAGGAAAAAATCAACAAAACATTTTATAACATTAAAAAATTTCAGTCTGTAACAATAACACATGTTCTGATGAAGTTATGACGGTGCCATCACAGCAAATAACACTGCACTATGTTTAGACAGGATTCAAGTGTGTATCAGCATATTCCATAAGTAAAACATTAATTTCCTACTTACCTAGATTTTGTAGAATCCCTTCCACCATGCAAACTCACATGTAGGGGGTTATCATGAACTTTCCTTGTCACATTTGTTGTCTCTTGTACTGTCTTCGCCTCTTTTATTTTATCTTTGACAAATTTTACATCTCTGTTGGGCTATTAAAAAAAAAAAAAATCTCATACGCATGAGAATTTACATGATTCATGTAACATACAGTACATGTTTAATGTTAATATGAAAGATGTAAATTAATACTCAAAACGGCATTATACATAACTTTAAATAAAGCAATCCTTAAAGTTTAAATTGCATTTGCAGTAGCTGTAAAAGATTTTCAGAATGCCACAATGATGCTGCCCTTCAAAGCAACAATCAATCATAGAGTAGGGAAAATAGTAAACAAAGGACATTACTTGTGTATCAGTATCTTTTGATTCTACTTCAAAAAGTTTGGCCTTCTGTGCAGTTATTGTGCTAGTTTTGACTGTAACTGTAAAATTATCTTCTTTCTTCATGGTGAGGGTGTTTGAGGTAAAAAGGCCTTTCTTCTTGTCACAAGTTGGGCTGTTTTCAAATAAGGCTGCAGATTTGTCCTTTTTCTTCTTTTTCTTACCACCATTGTCACCAGAGATCAGCGAAGACAGCTGCCCGACAGAATATCCACTTAGCATCTTGACCTAGAGTTAAGATAAAGGTAATCTGTGAGATGGGCATACCTGAGCGCCTAAAACTATATAATGATCTTCCGTGTACTTATGTTTTACAGTAGTAAGTATTGTACATGGTGTAGGCTACTCTAGCTAGCACTACCACTAGCTGTGTTAACCCCATGTTATAACTCCTTGGTTAACACTGATTGTACTAGCACAGTGGCATATAAGATATACCTCCTTTTCAGAAACATACACTAATTTTGGAATACTACCTTTCTGTATATTATCAACTGTAACTTAATACATCACCATAAACACAAACGACAGCATCAACAGCGTGTTCCTACAGGGTGAAGGTCATAGCTTAAGGTAAGCTCCGAATGTTGCGCAGTACCTCTGAGACCCAGAAGTGGCACAGCTACCTTTTTCTGCTGGTTAAAAATCAATATTAGCAATCTCATTCACTTCCATTGTAACGTTTAATTCTTTAAAATATACTTTCCATGCTTCAACTAACACCATACTTCAGATTAAAACACTTCCACTCAAGACACCTAAACAAGATCTTCACTGTAACGTGCTGCCGCCAAGCGGACGAAACAAGCACTAAAATGCAGCAGAGAGGAGGGCATACAAAACTGGTCCCAGGCAGTAAAATATCACATTGAAATAAAAAAAAAAATAACACACCAAACTAAAGGAAAATGAACAAATAAATTTCTGTAATTAATTAAATTTTCAGACAATCCAAAATAGAGACAAAACTTCATGCCTTGCCTCAAAATTACCAAATAAGGCTGCCTGAAAGTGATGTATAACCTGCTACATTTTATCTAAGTTAGCATAGATTTTGCTCCCTATATCAAAGAATTTTAAGTAACAAAAAATGTATACACTGTCAAGGCACGTCATGACAAGTCAAAAATCAAGTATGTCGGTAATGTTGCTGATGTCATGGTTTTTATCATTTACAGTTCAAAACTATAATTAAATTGTGAAAGTTTGATTTTATTTTTTGGCTTTATTGATTTCAGGATCAATTTTTTTCAACACGTAGAACATATGATAGTTAAATGCATACTGTAAGTGTTCGAAAAATTTCCCTATGCCATATAAATTTCTGTTACATATATACTGTAAAACTACTATCGTTTCCATCAATTAAGGAAAAAAAGATAAAGTACTTTTTGAAATGTACAGGAAGACATGGCATTCTTAATGACTGTCCAGTCATTTTGCAACTAAATTAAATCTAAAATTGAATAAAGCATTGAAGCAAAGTGCAGAGATGGGTCAAGCAATGATTCACGAGAAGAAGAAAATGTCTAAGTAAAAAGATACTAATCCACATTAAAATATATTTACAATGTTCTTTTGTATTTATTGATAAGTTTTCATAATAGATTTGTATTGGATTAATTATTGCTTTGAACCAAGAGAAAAAATCCAAGTAAAACTTTAAAAACCTTTATTTTCATATTTAAAAAAAATGTTTCATAAAAGGTAAAACTTCCAATTTCAGAAGTTATAGTATGTGTTACAGTCCTAGGTTCATTATAATAACAGGCATCATTTCATATCACATTGTTTGCAACTTGTGAAGTGACATGTTTCAATTTCGACAGTATGGAGATAAAATATATCACAAAATCCAGCCAAGAATTATTCTGCACATTTGCATCATTTATCGTCACAATCAAATGTAACAATACACAACAGATAGATACTGTAAATCTGTATTCCACATCCTCCCTATCCATTTTCTATGACTGATTTTGTGGTTCACTGCACTGATAGGTAGTAAAGATATATATAAAACTTGATATTTTCAGTCTTGTTCCTTGCAAACGGTTTAAGCATTGTACAGAATAATTAAGCAAAGAACTAATAAATGAAAATTAATAAATACGCTTTAAAAGGAAAAAGAAAAAAGAAAATCCTCTATCCAACATGAAAACTGCTTTTTTTGAAATAGTAAAACCATGACCACATTGTTTATAGTTTTTGGTTAAGCCAAAAAGTAATGAATGTTGAGATGGAAACTAGGATGTTGTCAACTAGGTGAAATAAATAATATCAAATTGTGTTGGTGTCACCGGATACTTTTATTTAAATACTGAACAAACATATTTCCAATTTTACTGGTATCTTCCATTGGGTGCATTTTTGTGTATGAAATAAATTGTCTTCTTGTCCGTTGTAATTCTGCCAGAGTGACATGCTTAAAAAGCTCAACCTGTAAAATAAAAGTACACTTATCATAAAATACATATTTGCATATTTCAAAAAGTGATCAATTTAATAACTGGGGATTAAGTTATTGATGATTTACTGCTTCTGTATTTTAAACATACTCTTAAATCTCCTGTTTTTTTTTAGTTCATGGCAGATATCAATTTTTTAATGTATATTTTCTATGTGTATAACTTGAATATAAACCATTATAATTATTATTATTATTATTAAATCACATCTGATTTGCTTGTTTTATAATAGTTATTAAATCACAAAAAATCGTTGAAAAGACCATTATAAACACCAAATACTCTAGGTATAGTGGGCAGTGTGGACCAGTGAACAGCAGCACATTTGTTACCTTTTCTTGAGCATTAGGGATAGCAACTTTGTCACCAGGAACACTTGTTTTTTGTGCATCCAAAATGACCTAAAATGTTTTAGCATTTTGTATTCATGAGTTTATATTAGGTGAAGCACATTACATTCTGAGATTGTTCAATCTGTATTGATGATCATTGAAATGAAAGCAATATTTTCATTTAAAACATAAACACATTAAAAAAAGCAAATAAACTAACAAATAAATATCAAGTAATTGAAATGATCACACCCTTTATGTACTTACATTGATGACGTCTTGGGTTATTCTATCCAATTCATACAGAAAGTTTGTAGATGATAAAGGTTGCTGCAAATGCAAATGCAAAAAAAAAAGAAAGTAATTTCAATAACTGGTTGAACCTCCTATCTAATACCCATCAAAATTGGTCATACCACATAAATTAAAAAGTAAGACAAAAGTACCAAATAGACATAACATATCACATTGTTGACACCAAACTAACCTATATTTTTTTAAAATAATTATTAACAAAAATTGATATAATAGGCTAAGAGGTCATATTTACTGCAACAGTAGCTAAGTTTGGTGGTGGCGGCTTTCTCTGGAAGAGAGAATCACTAATTTCCTTATATGGCAGCTCATCAGTAGGATGTATTGTAAAGAGAGGGGAATCCCAACGACTTCTTGAATCTGGGGTCTCAAATCTCATGACTAAGGCATCCAAACTAAAATAAAAATGAAAAATATTTAGGGCCAATTTACCACAAAGAAGACAACAAATGTGGCACATTTAAAGTACGTACAATACAGATAAAATTAAGGAAACAGATACAAGAAAGTCACATTACCTTAAAACTCCTAGAAATTTATATTTCAACAAAAGGAATAGCCTATCCAAAATGAATGAGTAATTGTATGTACACTGAACTAAGCTTTTCCTGTTTAAAGAAGCATTTTAAATTGAATGGCTGTTTATATATCTCCATAACTGCAAAATATCACAAAATGCAGTAACTTAAATATGATAATCCAAATGCATTTCAAACTTTTGAGACTGCCTCTAATCAGACATACAGACAGACAGGCAATGGATTTCCAGCATTCTAAAGCAATTAAGGGAGAAACCATCTGAATGCTGCATGGCATAGTCTAACATAAGTCTTACATTTCTTGAGAATAACTGTCTTCTTCACTCCTGTTTTTGTTCCATTCTGCTGCTTGATGAGGGTCTATTTCACAATGTATCTAACAAAATAAGGAGGAAAAAATAAGCAGTGAAGTTATTTCTCCAAAAACCTGGGTACAGTTTGCTGACATGAAATAGGTTGATTTGAGCTGGTTTATCTATTAGTCAATCAGTCATTTAAAGATGGAACACTGCACCTATACAGGCAGAAAATTCAACAAAATGAAATGCAACTGAATCAAGCCAGCAACAAAGAAAATTCAAATTTGTAAAAAATTCAAAATACTTACTACAGCATGTGGTGTCTGACTGGCTTTTGTTAAACAAAAAAGTTCATATCTGTAACCTTAAACATTAAGAACTCATATTATTCTCTTATGAAAATGAGCGTTTTTCAACATTAGTAATTGAGAATCATCAGCTGTAACTTTATGCAGTTTGAAATCACTCAAGTTTTGTTCAATCACAAAGACTTAAGGCTAATGAAGGTAATCAAGAACTATTACTTGAAAATTACTTGGGCATAGTTTACCACAATACCTTTTATATAATTCAGTGAATCCAGTATCAAAACATCTTCTCGTGACAATTTTCTGCAAAGAAAAATACACAGATAAATTTTGACACTACATATTGGTCATTTTTCAAAAAATGTTCAAAGATAAACTTTATTATAAGATTATTACTCCAGTTTATAGATTGCCAAAAGTAACACCCTTTTATATGAAACAGGTTCAAATGTACATGCCTTTGCACGGCAGACTTTAAGGCACTCCTTGCATCCTTTTCACTCTTAGATTCTGCAATTTAAGAAAGTTTTACAGGTAAGTCCTTCATAGAGATAAGTAAGTAAAGCAAAATTAACCTGTAATAATTAATATTCAAAGAAAGCAGAATACAAGAAACAGTGGAGTATGCATGTACTGTGTGAGATATAACAAACAAAATGTTGTCCATTGTCAATGTGTGTTGCATTTACAGTTGTAAATCCTTTTTTTCTTTCGTGGTAACATACTTAGCATTGATCTGTCTATGGCTCATTCGTACGGCCTCCATTCCTACCCAAAGCCTGTAGATGTATGCGTTAGTAATCCTGTATATGGTCTCTGACATGAGCTGTTGTGCCAAGTTTGTGGATCATATCAAACTCGGAGATCACAATATTCACTTGACATGAACGTTATCGTGCTAGTTTGTGATTATAAAAATGGAATCATTTACCTGCATATATTTCATTTTTGTAGATCCCAATTGCATGGTCATCAATGATATGTACTGCTTTACTTAATTCTGACTCTAAGTAGTGTTTTAGTTGGTTAGTTCGCGTAGTTTTGCCACTACAAGGTAAGCCACACATCACCACCAAAGGCATGGTTATGTTGTTAACGGAAGTCGAGTAACTTCCGGTTTTCTACAGCGCTTGCGCAAAGGACAGCGGGAAATTCTTTTTCGCGGCATTTTTACTATGACAACATTTGCCATTGTTGAAAGCAGCTGTGTCTCTCCCTGCAAAAAGCCCAAGATAATGCCTTCAAATAAGATAATACTCCGGTTTGCAAAGCTGACTGAAAACGCTATTGCACCAACCAAAGGCTCTCATTTGGCAGCTGGTTATGATTTATACAGGTATGATTTTTTTTAAATATAACGCACGCTGTAGTATATACATGTATGTAATATAATATATTCTGAAAAATAATAGATCTCGCTTTGTGATTTGGATACCCGATCGTTATATTTTATATATAGTTGTTTTGATAATGTGCATTGAGATAAAATTAGATGCCTGTAACTTGAAAGTTGAAGCATATTCCTCGTGATGAAAAAAAAATGCCTGTAATTAATGGTGCTAACTCATAAATATTTTGATTTCATTTTAACTGTTTGATTTGATGGTTCTTATACATGATGACTTTTAGTGCTTACGATTATGAAGTTCCATCTAAAGGGAAGGTTCTTGCAAAAACTGATATCCAAATAGCTGTTCCTGATGGATGCTATGGAAGAGTAGGTTAGTGAGAAATATCATTGTACATGTAGATTCATTGTTAGATTCAAGGGAAAAACATCTAAAATAGCCTGAAATGAGGCTGTGAGCACAGCATGATGACATATGAGACTAGAAAAACATGATTTAACATTTGTTTACCTAATCAGCAATAAGGGTGAAACTTCATGCAAAGGAAAGATGTCTTAGAATGCAATACAAAAGTGACATGCAAAACATGTTGAATTCAATTTTACTGTCTCGCATTGCAATAGAGTGTTATTTAGAGAGAAAAAGAACGTCTTTGCATAAATTATGCCAGCTTTTATGACATGTAATTGTTGCACCACACTTTCTAGTCTTCCGCTGATTATTTCTGAACCCAAAACCTACAAAATCTCACTTAATTAAATGGCAAGTCACAAGTCCCTGTTCATTTTATTTTTTGCTGGCAATGTTCTTAAAATGGTATGGCTCTTACGGTAACTTTTGGGTAAATAATTAAAACTACCTGTAAAGATCCTCTGAACTGATGACCCTTATAATAAATTTCTTCATATTAGCTTGAGATACAGCAAACATATTTTTATCACAACATATTCACTTATTGCAAACAGAGAATAATACCTAGAGTTAAAATGGCATAAAAGATTGTCACTTTCTGTCCCAAACATGTTTATTTTTAAGTGGGATGCTAATTTCAGCACCAAGATCTGGTCTGGCTTTAAAGAACTTCATAGATGTTGGTGGTGAGTATAAATTATGCATAGTCTCAGACATACCGCTTATTCAAACCAACCATACACAGTGAATTGTATCTATTAATTAATTTTTTTTTTTTTTTTGTAGAAAATGTGTATTTTTTAGAGTATTATTATGTTATAATCTTATATCAACATTAGCACCAAAATCTGACTTTAAAAAAAATCATACATTTTGCTTCAGCCGGTGTGATTGATGAGGACTATAGAGGCAATGTAGGGGTGTTATTGTTTAATTTTGGGGAGCAGCCATTTAAAGGTAAGAACTTTTTTTAAACTGTGGAAATTATATGTACTGGTATTTTTGTATGTACTGCAAGAATATGTTCATGTTGAGATGTCATCCTCCAGTGAGAATTTCATAAGCACCAGGCAGCTATTTCATTTTTCAGCACATTAAAATGATTTACTGGCTAATGATGCTAAAACATTGTTCAGTACAAGACGTTAATGAAATTCTGTCTTTGCAGGCATTAAAAAAAAGCAAAAACTTCAAACTGCATAACTGGAGATTTTAAACTATTTATTTAGAGCATAGACATCCACATTCTTGGCTTAAAAGCACAATTTACATCTCTAATGCAATGTAAAATAAGTACAATATAACCAATATCATTATTTGTACATTTAGATATGAATCTTGCCTGGGCAAAGTTCCATTTGGCATCTTTCCACAGCAGTTCATGAGGATGCTTGTATTAAACTCTCAACTGCGGTTTCACTTTGTGTATTTTGATTATAGTATTATATTTAAATTGTATTGAATATTTAAATATATATTCATTTATTTATAGTTAATAAGGGAGACAGGATTGCACAATTGATATGTGAGAGGATATATTTACCAGATATTGAACAAGTTGAGGTAAGAGTTGATTAGAATATCAGGTGGGGTAAATTATAGACTAGGCATTAAGGATGACACATTACAGTAACATTGAATATACATGTAGAAAGGCTAAGGCTAGAATATAGCTATCTTCCTCTCTCTCTCTCTCTCTCTCTCTCTCAGTATTTCCATGTTAAACAACTATGTAAAAGAATATATATATATATATATATATATATATATATATAAAGGGTAAAATACAGTACTAGTAATTTTCATATTTATTTACAGAAATTAGATGACACTGCAAGAGGAGAAGGTGGCTTTGGCTCAACTGGTATTGGACAGAATGGAACTAAGAATTCATAGCTTTAAGTTCACTTGTTGGGGATCTCCCCAGACTGTTCTTTTATCAAAATACTGCCGGTTTGAAAAACTTAAGCCAATAAGGTCCCTCAGTGGATCAGATGTTAGTGGCCTGATAAGGGCCAATTAAGTAGAATCTCATAAATAGTTTTCTTCAAAAAGAGAGTGACTGAGTGAAGCCTTTGAAATTATTTTTAAAACCCCAAGCAATGAATTCAAACACCCACTTCAGAGCACTTATGATGAATTTTTAGTGACATTATTTACTCTCTAATAACAATGTGTGTGATGCCTTTCTTTTGATATAAAAAAGCAGCTGTTGTATGTCTTTTAGACCATTAGTTTCCATAGCGAGATTCATTATGAATTTCACTTGTAATAAAAATTCTCTTTGGAATATGTATAGATCATCCAAGACAAAATCTATGATTACATGGTACATATATCCCTTGAAGTGCTTTATTTTGCTGGCTGGTATTACTAACTACAAAGTGTATAGAATATCAGAAATAAAGCAATTATTAAAACTGAAAAATTCAAAAATTAATAATGGCAGTGCACTAAAACATTTAAATGCAGAATCAGAATCAGAAGTTTATTGACAATCGCCCTACATCCGGGCATGATCAAATACAAATACAAGAAGTAATCCGCAGAGTGATTACCATATACAGTTTGATATACATTCTATAATGTCTAGACTAAAGCAGGGAAAGTACAAGTACTACTCGATATAGATCAATATAGGGATAACAAAAGAAAAAAAAATTGATTCAACTAGAATAGGCTACACTAAACCTTATATAAAAACTAACTATTATTTAAGGGGATATGAAAACTGCATCGTCAGTTAATCTAGGTTTTATTCAGCATGGATGCAATTTTCATATGCATGTAAACTTGGATACTACATGTCAGTCTAATTTTTTATAAAATAGTTTATAGTGTCAGTTTTGAGGATTTTCTCAATTTCAAAAAACCATCATAATTCTCGACTTTTTTACTGTTCTCTTGAGTTCTAGATTCAATGCTCTGTTAAGAGATGTTAAACATTTCCAATTAGCCCTGATGTAGGTGCACTAACTTTGATCAGACTTTGAACTTCCTTGAACTTGGGATGATCTTTATCTCCAAGAAGTTGAAGCAGGACAGATTCGCTGGTAGTAACAATTGCACCTGCTTGATCCAGCCTCTGAAAATGATTAAAGTTCAGAACACTTAAAATCACTATAGCATCACATCCTGCATCAATCAATTTGTGCAACTGTCACTCTTGCAGTGCACTGATTTTGACACCAATTATTTCCTAATGCAACTCATCCCTGCTTCAGTTTGTTTAGTAAGTTAAAATGGATGTTGTCGCCCTTCACCCATAACTCCTTACTTATTGCCTTAAATACATTCTTTTGGGTAATAGAAAAATAGTATTCAGTGTTCAGTGACTAAATTAATTAACATTTACACATGTCATCTTACAGGTGGTGTCATAATTGTGATTTTGGGGTAAAAACTGAAAAATTGGTTTCTCAAATTTCTCCTTTTCCTGAGCACCCATGATCACCATTTCAATGCTGATTTAACGACACCATTTAGTACGCCAAAATCCTGCCAGCATTTTTTCTTAAACATCTTTGTTCAGATTTTATCTTTGATAAAGTAAAATGCCTTTATTTTAATGAAAATCTGTAATTAGGGACTTCTAACTTCATGACAAAAATATTTCAACCAAAAGGACAGCACAGGATTGTACCCCAAACATTCGTGGTCAATTCTGCCAATTTTTGTGATAAAATCTTGTTCAGGGATGAAGTTATGCCCCATACCAATTGCTATCTCACCTCAAAACAGAAAAGTGTTAACTCCAAGATTAAAGCTTAAGAGTTGCCTATGCTTATACATTGCAAAAAGAAACATAAATGCCAACATTTTATATTTTCGATATATTTTTATTGTTTTAAATCGGCACAAAGATAGATGCATTATTGAATAATGAATGGGAAAAACCTCATTTTCGGTATATGGGTGAAAATAAGGGGTTACAATACCCTAAAATGGATGCATTAAAGATTGTGGGTGAAAGTTTTCAGGATTAAGCCTGATTTTAGGATTTTCAGTCTTCATTTTTTTTTCAATATGGTCTAATTGTAAATGCTATACTTTCACGTTTTTCAGCTTTTACAATTTTCACCCATGTCATAGATAATCTGACGGGTTACAGACCTTCAATGCAAAAATCCTGTCCATCTGGCTTCTGGAGGAGCATGCATCAGCAACCACATAGACCTCTATATTCTTCTTCAGTAAATCTATTGCTGTTTGTTGAATGCATACATGAGTCTGAAAAACAAAACTTCCTATTCTGACATCAATGCACTTAACCACTGATAAATGGACAGATTGAAACAACTCCCTGCATATGATATTTTACCATTAACTGCTCCTTCAGGCCTCCCTCCATCTCAATGAAAGTTACATTACCTTAGGCTGTGACATTATCGACTAAAAATGTTGATGGCAGTTTTCTGCTCGCCTATTTTAAACAATTAAAAAATTCAATTACTCACCTCAATACCAAACAGGACAACATGCTTAACATTTCCATCACGGAGGCTTTCCAATTTCTTTTCCACCTCTGGTATAATCATGCTAAATTTGGTTTTAGGGAAAACTCCCACAGCATGGTCCACTTTTAATTCGGGCACTGTGTGGCCAAGACCTTTTGGATACTATATAAAGGGATCAAGTTTTATATCACAGAGTATAGGAATTAGCTACTACATACTACTATTCTTCAAAAAAAAAAAAATAAATAAATAAATAAATAAAAATAAAAAAACAATATTAATAATAAAATAAAGAAAAATAATAAATAAATAATTAAATGAAAAGTAGGTCAAAGGTAAATTTTNCAATTAATACTCAAAAGGGCATTAGACAAAACTCTAAACAAAGCAATCCTTTTGTTCCAGCAGTAAATACTGATAAAAGATTTTTAGAATGCTACACTGATGCTGACCTGAGTTCAAAGCAACAATCAATCATAGAGTAAGGAAAACAGTAAACAAAAGACATTACTTGTGTATCAGTATGCTTTGATGCTGCTTCAAAAAGTTTGGCCTTTGATGCAGTTATTGCGCTATTTTTGACTGTAACTGTAAAATTATCTTCTTTCTTCATGGTGCGGGTGTTTGAGTTGAAAAGGCCTGGAAATGAGTCTTTCTTCTTGCCACAACTTGGGCTGTTTTCAAATAAGGCTGCAGATTTATCCTTTTTCTTCTTTTTCTTACCACCATTGCCACCAGAGATCAGCAAAGACAACTGCCCAACAGAATATCCACTTAGCATCTTGATCTAGAGTTAAGATAAAGGTAATCTGTGAGGTGGGCACACCTGATCACCTAAAACTATATCATGATCTACCGTGTACTCAGTACATATATTCAATATTGTAGTTGGTATTACAGTACATGGTGTAGACTACCATGTGTACTCTAGCACTAACACTGTGTTAACACTGAATGTACCAGCACAGTGGCATATAAAATATACCACCAGTCACACGATGATATCTTTAAAGAAACATACACTAATTGTGGAATACTACCTTTCTGTATATTATCAACTGTAGCTTAATACATCATCATAAACACAAACGATAGCATCAACAGCGTGTTCCTGCAGGGTGAAGGTCATAGCTTAGGGCACTGAAGCTCCCAAATGATGCGCAGTACCTCTGAGACCCAGAAATGGCACAGCTACCTTTTTCTGCTGGTTAAAAATCACTATTAACAATCTCATTCACTTCCATTGTAACGTTTAATTCTTTAAAATATACTTTCCATGCTTCAACTAACACCATACTTCAGATTAAAACACTTCCACTCAAGACACCTAAACAAGATCTTCACTGTAACGTGCTGCCGCCAAGCGGACGAAACAAGCACTAAAATGTAGCAGAGAGGAGGGCATACAAAACTGATCCCATGCAGGCAGTAAAATATCAAATTGAAATAAAAAATAACACACCAAACTAAAGGAAAATGAACAAATAAATTTCTGTAATTAATTAAATTTTCAGACAATCCAAAATAGAGACAAAACTTCATGCCTTGCCTCAAAATTACCAAATAAGGCTGCCTGGAAGTGATGTATAACCTGCTACACTTTATGTAAGTTAGTCAGCATAGATTTTGCTCCCTACATCAAAGAATTTTAAGTAACAAAAAATGTATACACTGTCAAGACACGTCAAAAATCAAGTATGTCGGTAATGTTGCTGATGTCATGCTTTTTATCATTTACAGTTCAAAACTATAATTAAATTGTGAAAGTTTGATTTTATTTTTTGGCTTTATTGATTTCAGGATCAATGTTTTTCAACGCGTAGAATATATGATAGTTAAATGCATACTGTAAGTGTTCGAAAAATTTCCCTATGCCATATAAATTTCTGTTATATGTATATATATATACTGTAAAACTACTATTGTTTCCATCAATTAAGGAAAACAAACGATAAAGTACTTTTTGAAAGGTACAGGAAGACATGGCATTCTTAATGACTGTCCAGTCATTTTGCAACTAAATTAAATTTAAAATTGAATAAAGCATTGAAGCAAAGTCCAGAGATGGGTCAAGCAATGATTCACGAGTGAAAGAAAATGTCTAAGTAAAAAGATACTAATCCACATTAAAATATATTTACAATGTTCTTTTGCATTTATTGATAAGTTTTCATAATAGATTTGTATTGGATTAATTATTGCTTTGAATGTATCAAGAGAAAAAATCCAAGTAAAACTATAAAAATCTTTATTTTCTTTTTAAAAAAAAAATGTTTCAAAAAAGGTAAAACTTCCAATTTCAGAAGTTATAGTATGTGTTACAGTCCTAGGTTCATTATAATAAGAGGCATCATTTTATATCACATTGTTTGCAACTTGTGAAGTGACATGTTTCAATTTCGACAGTATGGAGATGAAATAAAGCACAAAATCCAGCCAAGAATTATTCTGCACATTTGCATCATTTATCGTCACAATCAAAGGTTACAATACACAACATATAGATACTGTAAATCTGTATTCTACATCCTCCCTATCCATTTTCTATGACTGATTTTGTGGTTCACTGCACTGATAGGTAGTAAAGATATAAAACTTGAAATTTTCAGTCTTGTTCCTTGCAAACGGTTTAAGCATTGTACAGAATAATTAAGCAAAGAACTAATAAATGAAAATTAATAAATACGCTTTAAAAGGAAAAAGAAAAAAGAAAATCCTCTATCCAACATGAAAACTGCTTTTTTTGAAATAGTAAAACCATGACCACATTGTTTATAGTTTTTGGTTAAGCCAAAAAGTAATGAATGTTGAGATGGAAACTAGGATGTTGTCAACTAGGTGAAATAAATAATATCAAATTGTGTTGGTGTCACCGGATACTTTTATTTAAATACTGAACAAACATATTTCCAATTTTACTGGTATCTTCCATTGGGTGCATTTTTGTGTATGAAATAAATTGTCTTCTTGTCCGTTGTAATTCTGCCAGAGTGACATGCTTAAAAAGCTCAACCTGTAAAATAAAAGTACACTTATCATAAAATACATATTTGCATATTTCAAAAAGTGATCAATTTAATAACTGGGGATTAAGTTATTGATGATTTACAGTTTCTGTATTTTAAACATACTCCTAAATCTCCTGCTTTTTTTTTAAGTTCATGGCAGATATCAATTTTTAATGTATATTTACTATGTGTATAACTTGAATATAAACCATTATTATTATTATTATTATTATTATTATTAAATCACATCTGATTTGCTTGTTTTATAATAGTTATTAAATCACAAAAAATTGTTGAAAAGACCATTATAAACACCAACTACTCCAGGTATAGTGGGCAGTGTGGACCAGTGAACAGCAGCACATTCATTACCTTTTCTTGAGCATTAGGGATAGCAACTTTGTCACCAGGAACACTTGTTTTTTGTGCATCCAAAATGACCTAAAATGTTTTAGCATTTTGTATTCATGAGTTTATATTAGGTGAAGTACATTACATTCTGAGATTGTTCAATCTGTATTGATGATCATTGAAATGGAAGCAATATTTTCATTTAAAACATAAACACATTTAAAAAAAAGCAAATAAACTAACAAATAAATATCAAGTAATTGAAATGTTCACACCCTTTATGTACTTACATTGATGACATCTTGGGTTATTCTATCCAATTCATACAGAAAGTTTGTAGATGATAAAGGTTGCTGCAAATGCAAAAAAAAAAAAAAAATGTAATTTCAATAACTGGTTGAACCTCCTATCTAATTCCCATCAAAATTAGTCATACCACTTAAATTAAAAAGTAAGACAAAAGTATTAAATAGACATAACATATCACATTGTTGACACCAAACTAACCTATATTTTTTTTATATAATTATTAACAAAAATTGATATAATAGGCTAAGAGGTCATATTTACTGCAACAGTAGCTAAGTTTGGTGGTGGCGGCTTTCTCTGGAAGAGAGAATCACTAATTTCCTTATATGGCAGCTCATCAGTAGGATGTATTGTAAAGAGAGGGGAATCCCAACGACTTCTTGAATCTGGGGTCTCAAATCTCATGACTAAGGCATCCAAACTAAAATAAAAATGAAAAATATTTAGGGCCAATTTACCACAAAGAAGACAACAAATGTGGCACATTTAAAGTACGTACAATACAGATAAAATTAAGGAAACAGATATAAGAAAGTCACATTACCTTAAAACTCCTAGAAATTTATATTTCAACAAAAGGAATAGCCTATCCAAAATGAATGAGTAATTGTATGTACACTGAACTAGGCTTTTCCTGTTTAAAGCAGCATTTTAAATTGAATGGCTGTTTATATATCTCCATAACTGCAAAATATCACAAAATGCAGTAACTTAAATATGATAATCCAAATGCATTTCAAATTTTTGAGACTGCCTCTAATCAGACATACATACATACATACAGACAGGCAATGGATTTCCAGCATTCTAAAGCAATTAAGGGAGAAACCATCTGAATGCTGCATGGCATAGTCTAACATAAGTCTTACATTTCTTGAGAATAACTGTCTTCTTCACTCCTGTTTTTGTTCCATTCTGCTGCTTGATGAGGGTCTATTTCACAATGTATCTAACAAAATAAGGAGGAAAAAATAAGCAGTGAAGTTATTTCTCCAAAAACCTGGGTACAGTTTGCTGACATGAAATAGGTTGATTTGAGCTGGTTTATCTATTAGTCAATCAGTCATTTAAAGATGGAACACTGCACCTATACAGGCAGAAAATTCAACAAAATGAAATGCAACTGAATCAAACCAGCAACAAAGAAAATTCAAATTTGTAAAAAATTCAAAATACTTACTACAGCATGTGGTGTCTGACTGGCTTTTGTTAAACAAAAAAGTTCATATCTGTAACCTTAAACATTTAGAACTCATATTATTCTGTTATTAAAATGAGCGTTTTTCAACATTAGTTATTGAGAATAATCAGCTGTAACTTTATGCAGTTTGAAATCACTAAAGTTTTGTTCAATCACAAAGACTTAAGGCTAATGAAGGGAATCAAGATCTATGAAAATTACTTGTGCATAGTTTACCACAATACCTTTTATATAATTCAGTGAATCCAGTATCAAAACATCTTCTCGTGACAATTTTCTGCAAAGAAAAATACACAGATAAATTGTGACACTACATATTGGTCATTTTTCAAAAAATGTTCAAAGATAAACTTTATTATAAGATTATTACTCCAGTTTATAGATTGCCAAAAGTAACACCCTTTTATATGAAACAGGTTCAAATGTACATGCCTTTGCACGGCAGACTTTAAGGCACTCCTTGCATCCTTTTCACTCTTAGATTCTGCAATTTAAGAAAGTTTTACAGGTAAGTCCTTCATAGAGATAAATAAGTAAAGCAAAATTAACCTGTAATAATTTATATTCAAAGAAAGCAGAATACAAGAAACAGTGGAGTATGCATGTACTGTGTGAGATATAACAAACTAAATGTTGTCCATTCTTGTGTCAATGTGTGTTGCATTTACAGTTGTAAATCCTTTTTTTTCTTTCGTGGTAACATACTTAGCATTGATCTGTCTATGGCTCATTCGTACGGCCTCCATTCCTACCCAAAGCCTGTAGATGTATGCGTTAGTACTCCTGTATATGGTCTCTGACATGAGCTGTTGTGCCAAGTTTGTGGATCATATCAAACTCGGAGATCACAATATTCACTTGACATGAACGTTATCGTGCTTTAGTTTGTGATTATAAAAATGGAATCATTTACCTGCATATATTTCATTTTTGTCGATCCCAATTGCATGGTCATCAATGATATGTACTGCTTTACTTAATTCTGACTCTAAGTAGTGTTTTAGTTGGTTAGTTCGCGTAGTTTTGCCACTACATGGTAAGCCACACATCACCACCAAAGGCATGTTGTTAACGGAAGTCGAGTAACTTCCGGTTTTCTACAGCGCTTGCGCAAAGGACAGCGGGAAATTCTTTTTCGCGGCATTTTTACTATGACAACATTTGCCATTGTTGAAAGCAGCTGTGTCTCTCCCTGCAAAAAGCCCAAGATAATGCCTTCAAATAAGATAATACTCCGGTTTGCAAAGCTGACTGAAAACGCTATTGCACCAACCAAAGGCTCTCATTTGGCAGCTGGTTATGATTTATACAGGTATGATTTTTTTAAATATAACGCACGCTGTACAGCTGTAGTATATTCTGAAAAATAATAGATCTCGCTTTGTGATTTGGATACCCGATCGTTATATTTTATATATAGTTGTTTTGATAATGTGCATTGAGATAAAATTAGATGCCTGTAACTTGAAAGTTGAAGCAAATTCCTCGTGATGAAAAAAAAAAAATGCCTGTAATTAATGGTGCTAACTCGTAAATATTTTGATTTCATTTTAACTGTTTGATTTGATGGTTCTTATACATGATGACTTTTAGTGCTTACGATTATGAAGTTCCATCTAAAGGGAAGGTTCTTGCAAAAACTGATATCCAAATAGCTGTTCCTGATGGATGCTATGGAAGAGTAGGTTAGTGAGAAATATCATTGTACATGTAGATTCATTGTTAGATTCAAGGGAAAAACATCTAAAATAGCCTGAAATGAGGCTGTGAGCACAGCATGATGACATATGAGACTAGAAAAACATGATTTAACATTTGTTTACCTAATCAGCAATAAGGGTGAAACTTCATGCAAAGGAAAGATGTCTTAGAATGCAATACAAAAGTGACATGCAAAACATGTTGAATTCAATTTTACTGTCTCGCATTGCAATATACTGTTATTTAGAGAGAAAAAGAACGTCTTTGCATAAATTATGCCAGCTTTTATGACATGTAATTGTTGCACCACACTTTCTAGTCTTCCGCTGATTATTTCTGAACCCAAAACCTACAAAATCTCACTTAATTAAATGGCAAGTCACGAGTCTCTGTTCATTTCATTTTTTGCTGGTAATGTTCTTAAAATGGTATGGCTCTTACGGTAACTTTTGGGTTAAAAATTAAAACTTTAACTGTAAAGATCCTCTGAACTGATGACCCTTATAATAAATTTCTTCATATTAGCTTGAGATACAGCAAACATATTTTTTATCACAACATATTCACTTATTGCAAACAGAGAATAATACCTAGAGTTAAAATGGCATAAAAGATTGTCACTTTCTGTCCCAAACATGTTTATGTTTAAGTGGGATGCTAATTTCAGCACCAAGATCTGGCCTGGCTTTAAAGAATTTCATAGATGTTGGTGGTGAGTATAAATTATGCATAGTCTCAGACATACTGCTTATTCAAACCAACCATACACAGTGAATTGTATCTATTAATTAATTTTTTTTTTTGTAGAAAATGTGTATTTTTTAGAGTATTATATTATAATCTTATATCAACATTAGCACCAAAATCTGACTTTAAAAAAAATAATACATTTTGCTTCAGCTGGTGTGATTGATGAGGACTATAGAGGCAATGTAGGGGTGTTATTGTTTAATTTTGGGGAGCAGCCATTTAAAGGTAAGAACTTTTTTTAAACTGGAAATTATATGTACTGGTATTTTTGTATGTAGTGCAAGAATATGTTCATGTTGAGATGTCATCCTCCAGTGAGAATTTCATAAGCACCAGGCAGCTATTTCATTTTTCAGCACATTAAAATGATTTACTGGCTAATGATGCTAAAACATTGTTCAGTACAAGACGTTAATGAAATTCTGTCTTTGCAGGCATTAAAAAAAAAGCAAAAACTTCAAACTGCATAACTGGAGATTTTAAACTATTTATTTAGAGCATAGACATCGACATTCTTTGTTTAACAGCACATTTTACATCTCTAATGCAATGTAAAATAAGTACAATATAACCAGTATCATTATTTGTACATTTAGATATGAATCTTGCCTGGACAAAGTTCCATTTGGCATCTTTCCACAGCAGTTCATGAGGATGCTTGTATTAAACTCTCAACTGCAGTTTCACTTTGTGTATTTTGATTATAGTATTATATTTAAATTGTATTGAATATTAAAATATTATTCATTTATTTATAGTTAATAAAGGAGACAGGATTGCACAATTGATATGTGAGAGGATATATTTACCAGATATTGAAGAAGTTGAGGTAAGAGTTGATTAGAATAACAGGTGGGGTTAATTATAGACTAAGGATGACACATTACAGTAACATTGAATATACGTGTAGAAAGGCTAAGGCTAGAATATAGCTATCTTCCCTTCTCTCTCTCTCTCTCTCAGTATTTCCATGTTAAACAACTATATAAAAGAATATATATATATATATATATATATATATATATATATAAAGGGTAAAATACAGTACTAGTAATTTTCATATTTATTTACAGAAATTAGATGACACTGCAAGAGGAGAAGGTGGCTTTGGCTCAACTGGTATTGGACAGAATGGAACTAAAAATTCATAGCTTCAAGTTCACTTGTTGGGGATCTCCCCAGACTGTTCTTTTATCAAAATACTGCCGGTTTGAAAAACTTAGGCCAATAAGGTCCCTCAGTGGATCATAGATGGTAGTGGCCTGATAAGGGCCAATTAAGTAGAATCTCATAAATAGTTTTCTTCAATAGCAATGAAAGAGAGTGACTGAGTGAAGCCTTTGAAATTATTTTTAAAACCCCAAGCAATGAATTCAAACACCCACTTCAGAGCACTTATGATGAATTTCTAGTGATATTATTAACTCTCTAATAACAATGTTTGTGATGCCTTTCTTTTGATATAAAAAAGCAACTGTTGTATGTCTTTTAGACCATTAGTTTCCATAGCGAGATTCATTATGAATTTCACTTGTAATAAAAATTCTCTTTGGAATATGTATAGATCATCCAAGACAAAATCTATGATTACATGATACATATATCCCTTGAAGTGCTTTATTTTGCTGTCTGGTGTTACTAACTACAAAATGTATGGAGATATCAGAAATAAAGCAAATATTAAAACTGAAAAATTCAAAATTTAATAATGGCAGTGCACTAAAACACTTAAATGCATGTGAACTTGAATACTACATGTCAGTCTAATTTTTTATAAAATAGTTTACAGTGTCAGTTTTGAGGATTTTCTCAATTTCAAAAAACCGTCATAATTCTCGACTTTTTTTCTGTTCTCTTGAGTTCTAGATTCAATGCTCTGTTAAGAGATGTTAAACATTTCCAATTAGTCCTGATGTAGGTGCACTAACTTTGATCAGACTTTGAACTTCCTTGAACTTGGGATGATCTTTATCTCCAAGAAGTTGAAGCAGGACAGATTCGCTGGTAGTAACAATTGCACCTGCTTGATCCAGCCTCTGAAAATGATTAAAGTTCAGAACACTTAAAATCACTATAGCATCACATCCTGCATCAATCAATTTGTGCAACTGTCACTCTTGCAGTGCACTGATTTTGACACCAATTATTTCCTAATGCAACTCATCCCTGCTTCAGTTTGTTTAGTAAGTTAAAATGGATGTTGTCGCCCTTCACCCAAAACTCCTTACTTATTGCCTTAAATACATTCTTTTGGGTAATAGAAAAATAATATTCAGTGTTCAGTGACTAAATTAACATTTACACGTCATCTTACAGGTGGTGTCATAATTGTGATTTTGGGGTAAAAACTGAAAAATCGGTTTCTCAAATTTCTCCTTTTCCTGAGCACCCATGATCACCATTTCAATGCCGATTTAATGACACCATTTAGTACGCCAAAACCCTGCCAACATTTTTTCTAAAACATCTTTGTTCAGATTTTATCTTTGATAAAATAAAATGCCTTTGTTTTAATGAAAATCAGTAATTAGGGACTTCTAACTTCATGACAAAAATATTTCAACCAAAAGGACAGCACAGGATTGTAGCCCATACATTCGGGGTCAATTCTGCCAATTTTTGTGATAAAATCTTGTTCAGGGATGAAGTTATGCCCCATACCAATTGCAATCACACCTCAAAACAGAAAAGTGTTAACTCCAAGATTAAAGCTTAGAGTTGCCTATGCTTATACATTGCAAAAAGAAACATAAATGCCAACATTTTATATTTTCGAGGGCTTTTTTTTATTGTTTTTAATCGGCACAAAGATAGATGCATTATTGAATAATGAATAGGAAAAACCTTACAATACGCTAAAATGGATGCATTAAAGATCGTGGGTGAAAGTTTTCAGGATTATGCCTGATTTTAGGATTTTCAGTCTTCATTTTTTTTTTCCATATGGTCTAATTGTAAATGCTATACTTTCACGTTTTTCAGCTATACAATTTTCACCCATAGATGAGTCATAGATAATCATAGATAATCTGACGAGTTACAGACCTTTAATGCAAAAATCCTGTCCATCTGGCTTCTGGAGGAGCATGCATCAGCAACCACATAGACCTCTATATTCTTCTTCAGTAAATCTATTGCTGTTTGTTGAATGCATACATGAGTCTGAAAAACAAAACTTCCTATTCTGACATCAATGCACTAAACCACTGATAAATGGACAGATTGCAACAACTCCCTGCATATGATATTTTACCATTAACTGCTCCTTCAGGCCTCCCTCCATCTCAATGAAAGTTACATTACCTTAGGCTGTGACATTATCGACTAAAAATGTTGATGGCAGTTTTCTGCTCGCCTATTTTAAACAATTAAAAAATTCAATTACTCACCTCAATACCAAACAGGACAACATGCTTAACATTTCCATCACGGAGCCTTTTCAATTCATCTTCCACCTCTGGTATAATCATGCTAAATTTGGTTTTAGGGAAAGCATGGTCCACTTTTAATTCGGGCACTGTGTGGCCAAGACCTTTTGGATACTATATAAAGGGATCAAGTTTTATATCACAGAGTATAGGAATTAGCTACTACATACTATACTATTCTTAAAAAAAATAAATAAAAATAATAATAATAATAACAATTATAATAATAAAATAAAGAAAAATAATAAATAAATAATACACTTATTACATGGACTGCAATACCTTTTTTACATTTTAAGTAGCATTAAATTCATAGAAATGTTTTAAAGTTGTTTTTTTTTACCTGCTCGGTTGCCACCAATGGAATGTCTAAAATCTTTGCTGCAGACACCTGTAAACAACATTTTAATGTTACCCTTGTGAGTGAAGCCATACTTATACTGTAATCTATTATTACGTGAACAATGTACGATCATATTGAAAATTGGCAGAAGCTTTTTAAGATAATCTATCAATTAATAAGAAGGCCTTAATAATGGTACAAATTCGTAAGGAAAGAGACAAACAATGTCCTTTATATAAACGTTATGGCTAAACATCACTATTTGTAAGTAAAGACTATAACTGTAAGGCTTTACTCTGCGGTCTAGTCTAGTACATGGCAGAGTAAGGCCATTGCACGTTACAACTGTGATTTACAATTATACAGTATCCGTAAATTACATGTACAGTATAGTTACACCAACTTTGCAACGTTCTTCCTGACCAAACAGAAAAGCGTTTCAATTCCCGGATAGGAACTTACTAGACGCTTTGAAACTTCGAGTATGTCTTCAAAACAATTTATCGCTGGGCGGAATTTTTCTTGCATATCACACAGAAAAAACACAGTCTTTTCGGTTGAAATATCTCCAAGTGGCCGTCCTGCAGCCGCCATTTTGAACACAAACAATGTCACATGATCAACGAGCTAAAACAAGCGAGCTAAAACAATCAATAAAGTATATATATGTATTGACTGAAAAAATATGAATATGAGATTTTTCTAATGGATTTTTTTTTTAATTTTATAGCAAAATTTTACTCGACTGGAACTTTGAACGATATCGCACTTTCTGACGAAATGTCGATGACCTTCAGAACAGTTTCGAAATCGAGACTGTATTTGTCTCCGAATGGGTTCTCGCATCAAGATGTTCTCGTGTTTCCCTTACTTTTCAGAAGGTGTAGTTGTGAAAGGTTTTGGTCGAGGAAGCAAAGAACTGGGTATACCTACAGGTGATTTATCTTTTGATTAATGAACGAATGACGATATGTTAGTACGTGACAAAGAATTGATATATGAATTCACACCAAACTACTGGCATTGACATTGAGGAGCATTGTGATACTGAAACTGAAAGTTGTATAACTAGATCTATACGTTTTTAAGATTTTTTTACAAAGAAAAGTTAGTTTACTAGATATAATTGAAAATTGTAACTAGATTTGATAAAATGTAAAAAAATGTAAAACACATCTTTTTTCCGCCTCAAATTTAAAGCAAACTACCCGGAAAATGTAGTGGAACATTTACCAAAGGAGGTTGAAGGGGGAGTCTACTTTGGTTGGGCTAATGTGGACAATGGACCTGTGCATAAAATGGTGATGAGCATAGGGTATAATCCCTATTACCACAACAAAATGAAAACTATGGCAAGTAAAACATTTTTGTTTGGAGGGGGGGGGGGAATATAACCTAGCTATTAATCTTCTCTTTCTTTTAAATCAATGAAAGGCAATGAAAGTAGTGTTTAATTGGTTTTGAATTCAATGCCTTAGTAGTTCGCATGAAAGCGTTATATGCCATTCTTTATATGGTGATATGCTTGACTTTTGTTTTTATTTCAGGAAACGCATATAATGCATGATTTCAAAAAGGATTTTTATGGTTCTATGCTGAAAACTGTGATGCTAGGATATGTGCGGCCAATGCTAGACTTCAAATCATTAGGTAAGAGTAATAGTTGGCTAAACTGTTAAAAATTAGTTCAGAAAATTTAAGTTCTTTTTTCATTTATCATAATTAGTCATTGATCCATTTCAGTCTATGCAATATTATTTATATTGGTCTATCATCGATTTCCAGATGAACTTATAGAAGCGATACAGTCAGATATAAAAGAAGCAGATAAACAGCTGGAGAAGCCAGAATTTAAACAATACCAAAATGACAGTTTCTTTTTTTCTAATGAACAGCGGAGCAGATGATATATATGTATAAATAGATAATTTTATGACTAGTGTAACTTTTATATTGGTAGAAATGGAACTTAAAGGATTAAATATTGCATTTTAAACTAAATGATTATAATTTTTGATGACATTTATTGCTATTAGTTAAATGATAATGTAATCCTAAAGTCACTTTTATACACTTGTTTAACCACTTTGTGTGTAATCAATAACAAAGTTGTAGCCATGAGGTTCAAAAATTCGATTTTTCCAACCTTTACAAATGGGATTATTCTTCCCAACACACCAGGAGTGGAAAAAAAACCTTTTTAATATTCTATTGATAAGACCACATTTTCTCACATTCTCAGAGCAACATGGCTTTAATACAACTTTGGCCATTTATTAAAGTTACATATCCCTTTGAGCATGGTTTATGCCAAACAAAACATAAGCAAGGGCCAGTCTCATAACATAGTTGGAATTTATTCCAATTTGTCAAAAAATGAAAGTTAATCTGCTGTTTAAATGAGAAGTTAATCTGCTGTTTAAATGAGAAGTTAATCTGCTGTCAAACAGTAATTTTCAAGAGTCGTGAGGACAGGCACATGTTTATTTAAGATAATCTATTGATTAAAATTAATTACCAGAATGGCAGATATTTATTATTGCATGCCGTATTAAAAGGTAGTTCTGTGGCTTGATGTTTAGTGAACTGTGTCTGAAAATGCTGAGTAAACGTGTCTCCAGTGTCATACTGAAATGAAAGATGATGTGAGGAGAACCATACACTAGGATTGTTCGTTTTGAATACTTTCAAAGAAAGAAGACTACATGATCCTATTTTAGTCTTAATTCCTTTGAAGCATTCTGGTGCACTCAAGGACAACATAAATGGATTCCAAGTTGACTAAACTGGTGTCCATACAAAAATTATACAGGTGCAAATGTAAAATGGGTTTATAATAATGTAATTTTTGCAGACAAAAGACTCAATCTAACTTAGCTGTTGCTTAACATGAAACACGGGTAGATAGTGATTCTGATTGGTGCCAATTACCTTTAGTCAGCTTCACGTGTGCTGCTAAGTTGGTCAGAACTTCAAATTGCATAAAAGGAAATGGTGATGGTTTATCTAAGAAAAGGAAGTTGAATGCATACAATAAGTTGTAATGAATTAATATGTCAGTGATCTATTTCAGAATAAATTACATCATAATGTAAAATCTGTATTTTTGAACTTTTTGAAGAACTGGTATGAGAATATTTTATTTCCAAGTAAATGTTTTCCCTTTAAAAAATCGTGCACAAAAATAAAGCAGTGAGCCTCAAGCTTCTAACACCATAACTTTGGTTATGTTTATTCTTCTTTTGATAATCAAATTAATGTTTCAAAAAGTACTAATTGACATGATGTTTGATTATTTCAAAAAAGTCACTTAAAATAATCTCTCGACATTATGAAAATAAACTCATTATAAACTTTCAGCTGGTAAGTTCATCACTTTGCTCATCACAACCTTTCTCCACTTTGGATGATCTTTCCTTTCCAAGAATATCTTGAATTTAAATGATGGTTCTTCTTTAAAATCTTTTCCTTGAAGTTCGGCAAAATGCTTCTTCAAAGCTAATTCACATGCCTCCTTGACAAAAATACTTGGGCTACAATGTAACAGATGTCGAAATGTGTGGTCCTTTTCTTGCCTCTCCCTCTGTAACTCCATCACCTCAGGTGATGCTTTCAGGTATGGTGGATACTTCTGCTTCAGTTCTTTTATGGCCTCTATTTCTTGGGAATATTCTTCCTTGTCATTATACCACGGTTGAATAAAAGATCTCACATTAACAATAATGTCCTCTTTAACCTGTAATGAGGAAATTGTTTGATAACTAGTGACCCTAATTTAATTCTTATGACTTGGAAATGAAGCAAGACTGGAGAGAACTACTTGACATGTATGAAAACGTTTTTTCATCGATTCATTAAGTACTTTCTAACGAATCAAGACCACAAGGTGAAAGAATGAAACTATCTACAACATATACTTAGACAAAAATTATTTCTGCATGAATGTATAATCTAGGCAACCTTGGTAAAACATAATAAGAAAAGGCCCACTCACTCAGTTGAGGATAAATAAATTATCAGAAAAATCTCAATCTTTTACACCGTATTTAAAAACAATCATTTGTTGTTTATTTGCAGCATGATTAAAAAACTATACCTTAACTGCAATGTCAAATGGTTGAAGTTCAGTATTGGGCCCTGTAATTGCCACTGCTGGGAGTTGGATGTTTTCTTCTGGTACAACAACACTCTGAAATATAACAAGCATGTAACACCCCATTTCCATAGATTTTTAGATCGATCTATCCCTGTGGGGAGTCTCACTAGATTAATGTCAGCTTGGTCGGCTTAAGCGTCTGTCCCGCCTACTAAAAGCAGTAAGGGGGCAATTAACTATGGTGCCCGCTCGGCTGACTGCAATTTAGCGTGAACCCCCCAGGAGTTAGGTCGATCTAAATCTTAATCTCTAGATCAATCTAAATCTCTGGGAAAGCACCCTAAGTCTATGACTAAAAGTGTACAAAATAAACACACCAAACACTAACAGACACAAATTGTCTCTGGGAACATCAATGTACACTTTCAAATGTAAATAAAACCATTTTATACATCTGGAGTTGTCATTATTCTAATTTCAAATTGCCTTTTAAAATGAAGGGTTGCCTTTTTCACACAAAAACTTGCAAGAAGGACATTATATACATCGACTCTGACATGTAGAGACCATATGGGTAAAAATACAAGAGTACAGGGTTTGATATTTGAATATAACATTTGCCGTCACCATCTTGTTCAATCAAGTTAATAATAGAGGATCAGAGAGGCGATACCACCTCCAAGTATTGTACCACCAACAACTAGAGAGATTACATGTGACCTAAATCCAACAGTGACGTGGCTGCGGAGCCAATAGAGCTGGCGGATGAGACAGGTCGGGACTAAAATCATGTGTACTGCCAGCACTGCGCTGGTGGTACAATAAGGTATATGCTTAACTTTATGGGTAAAGAATCCCTGGCCACCTTAGCCCTTGACACAGACAGATTTGAAAGTAAAGGTGGTGGTCCCTTGGAATAAAACAAATACTCCAACTTAGTGGTGAAGCTGAGTGTTGGGATAGACCATTAGCCAAACTGAATAATGTCTCAACAAAAAATACCCGAGTCTCTCTCGAGAAAGTGTACGACCTTCAATGGGGGAGGCAATTAAGGAAAGTAGCAAACTGAGAACACATACAAAATTCAAGAAGGATTTTAAGACCGAAAATTATGTGCTGACCTTTGATAAAGCACAGAGGGCTATGTTTTGTAAACTAAGAATCAGCGCTCACTCACTCCATATCGAGAAGGGGAGGTACAGTAAATCCCCAACCCCGCCCCATCTAAGATTATGTCAAATCTGTAATTCCGGAGAGGTTGAAGACGAAGTGCATTTTATTCTGAAATGCGAGGCCTATAAAGAATTACGGGCAACCTTCTTCGAAAATATAAGTTTCCTCTGTAATACGAATGCCCTTTCTCCCCCGGATATGTTTATACACATCATGAGTACAAAAGAAATGGATGTGATTACGCCCCTCCTCATATTTGTACAGAAATGCATGGAGAAGAGAGTAAGTCTTTCTGCGCATGTCCAAACCAGATCATGATACCAGTGCGAGACCCGTTATGCGCTGTCAGCAGAGACTGGGCGTTTAGATCAAACCTGGTAAATTGATTATGAAATGCGACATACGTATCCATTTGTATAGTCATTGATGTCAACCATATGCTAATCTATATATATATATTTATTTATCTATTTATTTGTCTGTTCTATGTTATAGTTACTGGTATTGTAATTGATTGTACCTTTATGTGAAGGTGTTTGTCAATAAAGAATCTGAAAGAATCTGGTACTTACATGCCAACGGAAGGCTATGCGTACATGTTTTGTGGTTAAAGTCCAGTCATTGTGTGCACTCATGGGAATATATAAGTTCATCTTTCTCAAAAATTCAGTCATCTGATAAAAAAGAAAGAAAACCCATATTGATCAATCCAGGCCATATTTGAAACACATTGCAGTGGCATTCAAACACATGAAGATCACCAGATAATATCTGATAGCATATTTTTGTATCTTGTAAGAATATGATTAAAACACATTGAAAAAGTAAATAATCACATACATATGTGAGCATGATATGTTTACTTTGCATTAAAGCCAGTTATCAATGTTTTTTTCAATATATTCAGACAACAGTTAATGGGGGGAGAGAGAATGGGTGGGATCCAGTTTATATGCACAAGTAAGACTTGTATATTATGAACTAGTGATATTTTTTTAGTCAATGGGAAAAATAATGTAATAAAACTCACCTTTTCTGTAGATAAGGTTTTAAATCTTAACATTTCTGCTTCAGGATCCTAAAATAAAGGTGATCATATTTTCAATCCACTTCAATGATCTGTTTCACAACTCAAATTATTATTATTAAAATTAAGAAAATGGATTATCAACTATTTCTCTTCACTGACAATTAACAAAAATATTAACTGAAAGTGAATTAATTAATGTAAATTATTTTATACGTTAATGTAATTCACAAATTAGATAGAAGTACCAACAACACTCACTGGTTCTGGTTCAGTCTGTACAGGGTACAATGCCCTATTTTCAGGTGTACTGTAGACTGCAATTCCTACAGGAAGCAAATACAGTCTTGCCATGTTCTTTTTCATGAACACTAAATCCCCTTTAACGCCTAGGCCTGTAAATAAGAAGTGAAATTATCAGATACAAACTGATATCATTCCTCTCTGGTGAAGTAAAAACTTTTAATAAAACCATAACTTAACTGTTTATCACAAAACTGGCTTTATTTTGACACTTCAAAACGATCAAACTGTATGCAGTAATATGACCTATCCAATCCAAGCATCCAAAATATACAAAACACCTAGCTGTTTTTGAAATACAGTGGAAAATGACAGAAAAAAAACTGCATCCCATTCAGATAACTACAAAATATCACATCACTGTACCTAATACATCCCGAGTCAGTATAACTGGCATTGGAGGTTCCTTCTCCATAACAGGAGCTGTCTTTGCATCTTTTCCCATATTTTTTTCCATTTTTTTTTTGTCAACTTCTTCATAGACATAATTCTTCTTCTTGAAAAATGGCACAGATCCTTTTTTAACAAGCCTCATTGGATATCTTCTTTTCAACACATAGGATGCTGAAGGCTGGCCTAACCCCTTCTCTTGAAGTTTTTCTAAATAATTACTTTTCAATTCATTCACCTTAGAACTTGAAGACTGCTTCTAAAAAATAAAGTAGGAATATCTGTATTACATTGTGTTACATAATATATGTAACTGGCTATCAAAGCAAAAACAAGGAAAACAAGAGGATCAGAGAGGCAATACCGCCTCCAGATATCGTACCACCAGCTGGAGTAAGCGCATTCATATGGAAAACTAAAGGGTCACCTCAGCAAAAAAAAATGGACACCACCTACAGTATTGCGCTTGACAAGTTCTACAAAATGCAAAATGCAAAAAAAAAAAATTAAAAAAAAATAATAATAAATAAATAAATAAAAAATAAATAAAAATAAAAAAAAGGTCTCTAGCATTTATGGTTCCAAAATTAGAGAGAGTTTTCATTCTCAGTATCTAATGGCTGCTTCTCCCATGAAAATGCACTGTTGACCCCAAACTCCCAAAGATTAAAGGAGTCCCTGATTATACTTAGGTCTGTGTAGTTTCTGAAAATTGGTAAAAACAATTTTTTTTTTGCAGAAAATTCCCAATTTTAGAAAATTTGCACCGTTTGACCTTGAAATAAAGGTCGAAAGTCAAAACCAAGGGCATATTTGGAATTTCCACATTTCTGTAGTAATTTTTCCCCTAATTTCTTTGGTTTTGGAGATATTTAGCATTGAATTTTCAAAAATTTCGACAAGGGTGTGTTTCAGCAAGTGTCACCCCCAGGCCAATGCACTGACTGAGACAACAACAACAACAAAAAAAAATAATAAAAAAAAAAAAAAAAAAGGGG